CCCCCCCCCCCCGGGATTTTAGACGCTTTCATAGGAGTTGCTGTTAAATTATCTTACATACAATTAAAAATATGTTTCATGCCCTTCGGATTTGTTGCATTCCACATTGATTATGACAAATATCCCAACACTACTACAAATTCATAATTAATACAAATTTACAAATAAACATAAGTAGCTCTCTTTCCAGTTGGATGAAGTTACTTTAGCGTGTAAGGATACGCCAGAAAAAAATTCAAGATCAGAAAATACTATCTGTAACCTAACCTTTTAAGCATTTTTTATTCAGGAAATGATCATAAAAGTGATAATGAATAGCGTGGTAAGATGCTACTTCGGTCACGTGTCTGTACTGGAGAACAATTTTTTCGTTTTTATTTTAACTTGGTGATTCTTTTTAGCTACTTGTAAAGAACTGAATGAAACGGTGTGTGACCAGTGTGATACAAATGCCGCTTTATTACGATTTCTCGAAACAGGTTGTAGAAAGTGTTTGCTCTCCAGTAAATTTCACCCATGGGAATCAAAATATTCATTCATTTGCTCTCAGTGAATTAATCAGCATGTGATTACTGAGCTGCAAAGGACCCATTAGCTTGTTACGCCACCTCCTTGAGAGCCGAGCGCAAGAGGGAGGGGGGGCAGTGAGAATGTTAACTATAAAGTAAGAGTTAAAAAGACTGAGAGAAGCGGAGCTGCCTCACTGATTCAAGACGACTTGATTGGACCACCAACAACTTGGTGTCACGATAGCTCTTGATCATAGAAGAAAACAAGAATATTCTCTTGAAGAAAATTTAAATAATGAAAACTTGTAATATGACAGAAAATACTTTATTTGGCATTTATAGTATTCCTTTCCATTTCACAACACTGAATATTTACCCACATTAAATATCTTTGTATATTTTGATAATTCATTTGGTAACAATTGAGCATCTTATGGTCCTTATTGGGTGGTCAGTCAGTGCAAATGAGGCTGAAATCGTGGTGTACTTTACCATGACTAGAAAATTGCGTTCATTCATTCTTTGGAAACCATTTGAAAGTTGTTAAACGATGGAAGCCAATTCAGTGTCACGTATTGATTTTTTCGGAATCTTTTTCAAAAGTGCCACAATAGCAATTCCGTAGTCATGGTATTTTACATTTGTCTACGCATAAAATCCGCTTTAAGGCATGAGTGACCAGCACAACATGAACTATGAATATCTTTTTTGCGCATCGCTTTATCCAAGACAGTAAACACGTCTGGGGCCCTCAAATTAAATGGCATTGAGTTGAAAATAATTCAGTTTCACTAGTTTTTTCTATGATTGTTTTGTGATTCTCACAAATATTATTCTTAATTCAGAACTGAACTCGGCGGGATTTTATGGCGCTTTTAGATAAGTATTAATTATAATAATTATAAAACTACTATTGGTTGAAAACCATTAATCCTTACACAAAGATTCTATATCCCTTGAGAACCAATGCGCGCGAAACGTTATCTCTTATGAATTATTCTTATTATTCAATTATTTAAGATAAACATTATTTCTAGAACAAACTCTTCAAGACATACCGCTAAAAGTAAAAGCCGCGTTGCTTGATTTTAATCAATATTTTCTGAACTTCCAAATATATTTTTGACTAATCTACACCTCACTGTACAAAATATACTTTATAAGTACGTTTTTTTCGACGATTGAATGGTACTGAAATTAGTAGATTTTGGAAAGCTCAAAATATCAGTGGCGCAAAAATGGAGGTATTTTTTTACATAAAGGAATGACCGACAGCTTGCCTTTGATTTAATATTCTTTTTACGAACGATGCTTGGAAGAATATTAATTAAAGAAATCTAAACAAAGCATTCTAAAAAAATATACGATATTCGATGCACAATACTGAACATTTAAAAGCCTTAACTGACCTCGTACGTAAATAGCATGAGTTTAAGAGTAAGTATAATTGAGTGATTTGAAATATTAGAGATTATCTTTTATTCAATTAAATTTTCAGTTATTGAATATTTAAATATTTAATTTAGCTTTCGAGATGAACGTATTATATGGGAACGAAAATATTGATAACTTGAAAGAAAAATAATTAGTTTTTTTAAGTTACTGTTGAATCCCAAGGATAGATAGTTTCAATAAACCCGACAAACCTATCTTCAAGGGTACATATATATGGATAAAAGGTGATGGTACGCATGATAAACTTAGATGTTTTTGAAGCGAAAATTTTGTTACGTCACTCATAACCTGGACTCAATGCCCTGGAATAAATGGCATAAAAAGTGTGAGAAATGGAAAACGACGAAAGACGAAAAGTTTAATTTTATCTTGTCGAACAAAAAGCGGAAATTATCGCGCGTGCCATCACCTTGATTTTGACTCTTGCAAACTTCTCAGTCTAATTCTTCTTTTTTTTTTTTTTTTTGTCTTACTACTGGTGAGAGTTTAGTCCCTTTTTCCTGTCCAAAACAGTTTGACTTGCTTTTTGTATTCAAGTCTTTCATTTCCTTCATCGTTGACGGGTGTATAGCCTGAGAGGTTCATCCAGATAGTTTTCTTGGCGTTGAGTATAGGTGCAAACAACAGGAAAGCGAAAAAGAGCAGCAACATCACCAACGAAAAATACCTGAAAAAATGCATCTCACTGTAGGACTTGATCAAGACTCCCCCGATGATCTGGCCAAGACCTCTGCCTAACCCATAGTACAGGCCGTGTAGAATACCCTGTAAAGTTGCACCTATTCTTGGCGGGGTACCAACATAGGACGCTAGGCTACTCCATACTAGTGCCTCACAGAAGCCACCGAACAACTCAATTGGTAGAACCAGCCACGCGCTAGGGATGATCGAGAAGTAGAAGAATCTGATGGAATACGCAACTAACCCAATAGCTATCATTCGTACCTGTCCGAATCTTTTGATCAGGTATATCGACGCATAGTACAGTGTCAGGTTGGAAAGACACTGCACTCCAACCAGGGCACTGAACAGTGACGCAGTGGCACCGAGTTCAAGCAGGTGGATCCCTAGAAATGCTTCTGCCGTTCCGAAAGCGATGCCGAGAATCAACGCAAAAACGGCGAACACAATGTATTCCAAACAGGTAAAAACTTCTAAGCTCTTGAACAATGTACATCGCTCGCCAATATGCTTGTCGGAGTCGTTAAACTTGAACCTTGTAGCGACCAATAAGGATATGGTCATGAGCGCGGCATAGACATAGAAGAATGGCCTGTAGATGTCAAAGACTTTATTGGGGCATATATCAGTCTGTTCACTGTACTGATGTGCCACTATACTCCCAGTAATAAATGCCGTTATCCCCCATCCTATCTCTCCCCATAGTCTCTGCTCGCCATAGTCATTCGGGTTATTTCCTAAGTTCTGTAGGGTAGCCACATCAGACAGGGTATTTGAAGTAGATCCAAGTAGTTCCCCGGCGATAGTGATGGTCAATACAACAACGAAAACTACTTTAGCCTTTTCGTACGTCCTTGGGTCGAGTTTCCTGTACACATCGAAGATCCAGTTTTCTTTCCACAACTCAGTATTCCCGCGTTCCTTGATCTCGAGGTGCTCGTGAGCTTTCTCTTCCTGCTTGTGTTTAAGGATGGCATGTTTGAGGACATTTTCTTGTTTGGTCGTATGGTTTCCGTGGATATTTATCTGCGTTTCATTTACCGTAAGATTAAGTTTCTTGTTGACTTCACTTAAGCAAGACATATCGACCGGAGGTACGACAGTAACCACAAGTGATGATACGATATACGAGAATAAAGCGACTACGAGAACAGCACGAACCTTGCTATACTTATCAGCAATTGTACCGAGGATTGGAGCACTGAAAAACAGGCAAAACGGTCGTATTCCTATAACAATTCCTACTAAATGAGCAGGCAGCTGGAGAGAATGTTTGAAGTATAACGCCAGGTACGGCTGTAGGGAACCAATCGCCGCAAAATAAAAGAAATAAAATATTTTATATACGACCAACGAACGGTCTATATCGACTCCTGGCTTAAGATGGTGTAACCAAGATTCCTTACTTGGTTTTTGAATCGTTCTCTTGCCTCTAGTGAGTGAATCATCTTCGGCGTTAAACAGTTCACCGTAGTTCGGCGTCTCTTCGACTTCGAGGGGTTCGCGCTCCGTCATTTCATTCAAACCAGGTTATTTATCCCGCCGTTTAGAATTCTTCTACTAATACCATGACTATTGTACAAATGTTTGCTTTGATCTCGGTTGAAAAATTTAAAAAAGCCAGTCCATGTCTCAAACGTAGCGGCTATGTCGTGTTGTAAGAAGGAAAACTTTCCGAGCCAGTGCTTTTAGGCAGATGTGTTTTGCTTTAAAATAAAAAATTTGCATCGAGGAAATGAACCGTCAACCCCTGACGATCCTTAAATTCTATTGGACTAAAACAGACCCTAATCAGTATCACTCAGCAACATGATTGACAGCTTTCGTGACATTATCATTGTATAACATTCGGCATGGAAGTGATAATCTCATTTAGACATTTGTATAAAAATATGAACAAAATGAATATTGTAAGAATCCAAGGGAATTTAAAAAAAGGCAATTGTTCTTTTTAATCTCACCGTCGAAAGACTTTCCTACGAATATTTCTGTGGATTGAAAATTTAGCCAAATGTTTAGCAAATACATTAGAATCAAAATGTGTGAAAAATGAGGATCTTGAGCAAATAAAAGCCATTTCCAATGAGAATGAAATCAATAGCTCTCATTGTCAGGTGTTTTTAAGCCCTTATTTGCATTAAGAGTTTCATATCATATGAGAAATCATTTATATCTGAATAATTTGAACTAATTTAATGGTCCAATTAAAATAAAATGACTTAAGAATAAGATAATCTAAATATTGAGGGATTGTTTTCCTATTCTTTTCTCAATTAACAAAGTAGCACTGAACGAAAGGACTTGATGTGAAAACAATTGAAAGGCTAAAATATTTTCCAACTTATTCCAAGCGTCATTTGACGCGCTTCGCTTACAGAATCATCAATGAATGCCAGACGAAAACACGATTATCATAAAATGTTTGATAACAATGGTCAGTCAAGCGCTATACCGCGTTATTTTGGTCGATCATCACAATTCAGGGTCAGCCAGGTGACTTAAAATTACCGATCAACGCGGATGAAACTGTCCTTCGACGAGCTGTACTATCTATTTGCACTGCTTGGCGATATAGCTTTCGCGGTAAAACTGTTAGCTTTTGATGTATGTAGTGACATCATCGTATAATCGAAATTTTTGAATAAAAAAAGCAGTCTGAAATACGAAATCATTTGAAGGTTTTGTAGGTCTTAGAATCGCCTGAGGACATCAGTGAAATGTGCTTTTGGGGGTTGGTATAAGATATGGTTGCATAGAGACCATAAGTTACAGCAAGCAAGACGAAGACAAGTACGAGGGAGTCATACGGGGATCTTCTGTTATCCCAATATACATGTGTAAAAAATACGATTTCTCTGATAATTTTGACTCAAAAATTATCAATATGTTCACTGGAATCACGAGTTCTAAATTAGAGCATAGCCGGTCTGTACTAATTGTGTTAATGAACACTTGAAAATGCTAAAATTCGGTTTATAAACAGAATTATGCCTGGAATTTTAAATGAACATGGTTGAGCGTATATCTATAACAATATATTAGGATTATCTGACGTTGCAGCTATGTCAAACAACACTCTTCTGGTGAAATCCAGGATTTGCTGATATCGTTTGGAATTATTTTGCTCATATAATTTGAACGTTACTATTTAAGTAGTACCTTCAAATTATATGATTTTGACATAGGCGATTAAGTCTCAATTATTTTGCTATATCTTCAATTATAAGTCAAAGGAAATTTAAGTCTCTTTATGTGGATGGACATAGGACGTTGGCATGGTGGCTTCAATTTACTAACACTACCAAAATCCTTCGCCAAGGAAGGATACCCCCTTCGTGATGGAGATAAGATTTGGAAATATAAGAGATTTTAGTATAGTCCCTGTAAATCGCGAATCTCCTTTCTTAGTCGAATTTTTATTTTCTCATGAGAATAGTAAGACAATTGGTGTTAATTAACTGAACAAAAGAAAGTGTGCAAGGGAGTCTGGAAGTGGTAGTAAATGACACCATAATGCAARTGTCCTATTCTTTAAGCTATAGAATAAAATCGAAATTCATGTTCGTTACTAACGAATCTTACATCGAATCATTATATTGTAATTTATGCCTTGTCTGATAGCCATGGTTTTAGTGCTTATCAAAGTAGTTATAAATCAAATTGAATTACTGAGACAAGATCCATGCAACCGTTGCTTGATATTACTGATGGACAAAGACTATCCCTAAACTCTAGGCCCCGGTTTTACGAAGGGTCAATAGTGCTATCTATAAACGGATAAATCGTTATCCAGTAGATAAGTCGATGCTGTTATCGACAAATTTATCCACTGGATAAGATTTATCCGTCGGATAGCGCTATCCACCCTTCGTACAACCCGACCCCAACCATCTCTATCTTTTTGTTTTTAGAAAGAAAAGAAATTTGTTAGGTCTCCCTTCATTCGAGGTTTATTTCTCCTAGTTTTCCAGTTTTATTCTCTCCGCAAAATGTCTAATTCCACTGAATTTGATAATGGAAGCTACTCGCTATTAAGTGCTACCCCCGTAAAGCAAGGATGGTTGTCCCTCACACAACTATAAATTTGATTCTTTCCTTTTAAAAAATAAGCTTACGTCAGTAAGAGCTGACGAGGAATGAATGATTTTGTACTTAAATTTCTTCATCAATGCCACCCACGCATGCCTGGTTACGTTTCCTCCATATATTGCTTTCATTCTTTCCTGGTTTTTATAGTGATAATCGGTTTCTGATTGCTCTTCCCCCGCTAATAATACGTCACTTGGTTCTTGCAATGCTATTTTCACTGGAGAACATCATATAAGAGAAAGATAGTCAGTAATAAAAGGTGCGGTAACTGGAAAAACATTGGACAAGATAATGTGTGGATTTGCTGTGTTATTAAAATGTGCTTGTTTTTCCTTCCCTCGTTCTCTTATTTATTTTTTGAACAAGAGACTAAACATATACAAAGAATACTGGTTTCAATGATCCACGTATAGACTCCTTTTCAATCGGCTCAAGGGAAAGGAATTAGTTTGTTTTGACCCAAGATTGAGAATGGATTTGTGAAAGGGCCTTATATTGTCAGGATTTGCGTATGAAAAACAAACAGCTGTTCTGTTCTCACATGGTTTTATTTCTTTTTCACCCGCCCGCACAACCTCAAACATATGGCCATCTAGATATGATTCTAGAAAAACTGTCAGATAAGACCATTAGCATCGGTACACAAAACACTAGGCATTTAAACATGCGAACTCTGTGTCTCCGAGTTGCAAGCTACCGCCAGTCAAAAATATAAAAGGTACCGACTGTTTAGGTTTGATTGCAAGAGGTCTATTAAACTTGTAATATTCGATTCAATCCCTGATACGCTTGCGCACAGATCACATTGCTCTGCAATCTCGTACACAGAGCCTGTGTTTATTCTGGCGTGCGCGGCGAAGAACGAGGGCTCTGGCATAATCCATATTTTGAGACCAGGATTTCTTGGATCCGGTATAAGAATTTTAAGTTTGATCGGAAACATTTACATTGAATATATTTCACTTCGGAAAATTGCGCATGCGCCAAAAAATGAATCGTGCCAGAGTCCTCGTTCTTCGCCGCGGGCCAGACGAAACGCAGGCTCTGGGTACGGGATTGGTTGCTCTGTAGAGTAGCGATATCCCTGTTCAAATCTCGACGGAACGGACTAGGTACGAGAGAGCACTTTTTCCACAGGAAGACCTTGTAAGACTTTTTAAAGTCTTACAAGTGTTTAAAAACACTACTGTTGAACCAGGGAGGGTCGATGTTCGGCAATTGAGAAAATGCATTGCATGTAATTGTAACATATGACAGTCGTGATGGATTTTAAAAATCAAACAAGCTGAAGTGGAGTAAGCATGAGACCCTCCATCTCTAGCTGAGTGTATTCAATTCAATACTATTCATCAGGACATTGGTTTTCACCCATTTTTCGATGAATAGTATTGAATTACAAGTTTTAAAAACGTTTTTTTTTTTGATTACGTTTTAAATTTTGAAAAACTTGGGCCTTAAAATATACTGACGTTTTGCTCTAAGCTCTGTGAGAGAACGCGTTGTCTGAATAGAACTAAGATATATTTGTTCTCTGATTTGTGATGATTTAACAAGAGAGCGTCCACGAAACCCATCTTAGTCAAAAGCGTAAGTTATGATAGCTTTTAGAAAATTTAGAAAATGTTGGGAAGCCAGTTGGTTCGACTAATTTGCTCCAATAAGTTTTCCCCTGTAAACGTAACGAAAAAAGAAAGAAAAAATTTAAAGTGGCTGACTACTTTGGTAAATAATAAGCAGAAAATTGAAAATTCAAACTTATCGTAAAATTAAAATATTAAAACTTGGAATTCCTAAGACTGGGTTTTCTTTGAGTATATATCCGCGATGATCTGTGGTGTCGGTGGAAATGGCGCTTTAACACGAACCTTTTCGATTCTTAGTCAGTTATTTCTGACAACGCATTTTTTCGGTTGCCGTTTTCAATATCGTGACATTTATTAACATATCATCGTATTGTTTAGTATGTCCACCTATTTTTTTCCAGTTGGTTTAGCAATTTTTTCCCGAGGTGTGAATAGCATTCATTTCAATGCCTTTGCTAAGCTTGCTCCGGCTAGCTTCAGTAGCTAGCTTCTTGCTGGTCTTGTATACGAGAATGACGTGTTACAGCTAACTCGATATTCTGTGTCCTTATTTCACTATAACATTGAATATAGCAAGGACTAGAATACTAGCTTTACTGGAGAAAGACATGGAGTCATTCTAAGGTTAGTGCTTTTAAGGCCTTATTGTTTTCAAGGCTTTTCCGTACTTTTCGCTAAAGCTTCATCGTTTATGCAAGTTGTACCATAGAACAGTATTTGCTATGTTTTTACTTCAATGTACTGGGCTGTTCTAGTATGTCTTCTTTTCTTTCTATTAGAAACGGCTATATTTCTCGTGCACCAAAATGACCTATCTTTTTAGGTATTTATTCTCCGATTCATACACGCAATATCGTACTTTAACAAACTCATTAATAATTCATGACAACATAATAGAAATCATGCCCACCGTGAAGAGAGTTATAATTCTGATACAGAATCATGTCATTTGCAGAAATTTTAACTTTCTTTGGCAGATTCACTTTTATCTTGAACATTCTAGTGAAACACAAAGGAACTAACCTAGACGTTTGTTAAAGGGGCACTTGGATGAAAATGGATAAAAATTGGAAATGACTTTAAACTTAGTTAAACGTATCTATATGACCCCAATAGTAGCCAAGCAACATACTTTCTTAACAGTAAAATGTAGCGGATAAAAATTATCAGTTTTATTCAGCATCTAAATTTGGAGAAAATGAAGTCCTTTACTCAACCCTATTGTTCTTTCTGCTTTTGAACCAAAATATCTCAATAGCAAGTGGCTCCCAGGCTAAAATGTTCACTAATCTGGTTTAAATAATCATAATTGAGTCATATATTCTCAAATACTTCAATTATTCGGACTTTCAAAAATCGGGACGTTTTCATCCAAGTGCCCCTTTAAGCAATATACAATATTGGGCTATTGGGTTGGCAAAATCATGGTAGAGGCAAATTGCATAAATCCCTTTCATCACACTGAAATAGTTCTCAATACCCCCTCAATATGTGATACCCCCCCCCCCCCCCCAACCACTTTGTCAAAATAACTAATAAATGCACTAATAAATGAAAGCTCCCTTATGTGTAGAACAACAACTTAATTACGGGTGCCATTTTTAAAAACTTTTATTCAAAACAAAAATTCGTACCAAAAACACATTTATTTACAATTTTCTGTAAATCAGTATTACGAATAACGTGGCTGGGCTCCGGGTAGATTATTTGGCTTCGAAACACCCAAAAATCACCGAGACAAATTAATGTACAAGAGAAGACCTCCCATTCGCTCATTCTTCGATTGGACCGGGGTTACATCATCGCTTCCTTTCGGGGAGCGTTGGTGCCATTTAACAAAAGATTTCTTTTTAGCATCCATTGTTAACGGCACCGTTGTCTTTCGACTCTAATGGTTTTTACTCCGCTAAGTCATGTTTTAGAACCAAACTTTTCTCTCAAATAATTCAATACGACCTGCGCTTTCATCATATTTACCCCAAAGCCATAATGAGTACCATCAAAACTATGTACCCCTTGGGTCAAGTTAAACGTATCTAACACCGTTATGTTAACCCTCCTGCAGTATTCGATCAGTTTTGAATTATATGCGAGTATTGCATGGTTTCCTTGTCGTTGGTAGTACGAACGCGGCTTCAGGGGTCCCGCAGAATGGGTAGTCAGCCATACAAGGTGTGGCCATCCATTACGTGACTTAGACAAGAGTTTTACGATCGGTTCAAGATAAGATTCGATGACCAAACTAGCATTAAAACTGTTATGTATACCGATCCCAATAAACATCACAGACCCTCGTCTTGAGAGCTGCCGTTTGACCATCTTAAGTGCCACAGGTGCATGCTTGATGTTGTAGGCCTCGATAAAGTCTAGCTTAAACTTAAGTGGATTAGCTTGGGGACAAAACGTAGGGTGCATTGATATGTCTTTCCATCTCATCGCTATATACACGTGGCACATGCTATCGATGAACTGGCTGTCTCCACGACAGAATTTCTTGAATTTCGAAAGCGCCGTCTTTTTGAGTGCTCCGTGTTTGAAATCATTTGTCAAAATTAACAGCACGGATGAGAATAAATGTCGTACCAGCGAGTCTCCCATGAAAGTAATGTACGACATGCGGTCATTTATGAGCGCGCATGCTCTGGTTTGTGAGAAGCTGGTTACCAAGCAACCACTTCTGGGCTTCCAATCAGAAAGCTCTGCTGGAAGATAGTTCCTAAAATCAATACAATTCTTGCATTCACAAAAACTGGTCCCAATTCCACACCACCCCTTGACGCCATTACAGCAGGGTGCATCTGACTGTGGATCACATTGTCCTTGAATATCAAATATAACTGATCCAGATGAGTTGATGTAATTGGGTCTTGGCAAGGGGTATTCCCAGCCACACCGTAGATCGCCATGCCAGAGCGTCCTCGGCCAACCTTTCCGTTGACGAAGAATCATGTCCAGTTGCCTACGAGCTTYTAAGGCAGTTGTTGATGTGTGTAGTCGTAATTTCCAACGGCCTTCAGTAGCAGAACTGAGAACGTCTTTGCAGATTCTTTGGTTGGATTTGATTGGTGGTTGAATGTCGAGCCGGTGATGGCGCTCGAAGTGAATCACTGAGCATGCGTAGTACAGATACAGGAAGGTTGTCACGGTGATAAGAACAATGCAAACTTGTTTGTACACATTAAGGAAGAATCCTGAAAATGAAGACGGCAAACTTATTTATACTTAATGTGCAAGCACAGATATTAAATGTTTGTCAATGGAATTTTGTAATAGTGATATATTTGTAATTTTGACTTATACATTTCTATAATTGAGAATATGTGGACCGCATGGCACTAAATGAAATACATGAAGATATAGAAATATAGATAAGTTATAGTGCTTGGGAACGAGATTATTCCGGGCGAAAGCCCTTGGAATTAAAATCGGAAAAATTAATTTCCGACCTCGCTGGGAATCGAACCCACGACCTTCGGAATTGTACTACCGATGCTCTAGATGCTCTACTCGATTCCCAGCGAGGTCGGAAATTAATTTAGTCTGACCTCTAGCTCCGCTGGTAGAGCATCGGTAGTACAATTCCGAAGGTCGTGGGTTCGATTCCCAGCGAGGTCGGAAATTAATTTTTCCGATTTTAATTCCAAGGGCTTTCGCCCGGAATAACCTCCTTCCCAAGCACTATAACTTATCTATATTTCTATATCTTCATGCATTTCTATAATTGTTAGTTCGTTTTGTTACCTTGCACTGGAGACATCTGATCACCCGGCAAACGAATTCAATTCAACTGTTCTTGAAAATCAGCAAAGCAAACACTTGTTGAATGACCAGCGGTTAGAATCATCGAGGTTAATAAGGCAATAAAGACCATATTCCTCTTGTCATTCATAACCAATCCGAACACTCAAACCCAAGCAGATATTCCTTTATAACTCACTCGAAGTAGATAATTTAAGGCATCTTTTTCTTATACAAATGACTTGCATTTTTCTTCTGTCTTGAATACGGTCATTTATTACCGTCTCATCGCGATCGTCATTTCAAATCAATTTAAAACTACCACCAGTCGTCCTTCTCTCAGCTGTTATTATCGTGCCAAATTGGTCTTCAAATATCAACAATTAGTACTGTTTTCTTCAGAACTTCGACATCAGATCGTTTGGTTTTCAGTTCTTTATCATAGAGTGATACTTTAGGCACATCTCTGTCACGAAAATATGATAATCCCAGACCGGCAACGAGATTAGAAAGTCGCAGTTTGAAACCAGTCAAGTTGTGTGTGGTAAGATAGAACACAAGCTAACGGGTTGTTAATAATTCATGCGTTCAATTTGAGTAAAGACAATGAACACTTGCTACATCTGATCATGACAGGGTGTCATTTTCACACTTAATGACACCTTTTTATACCTCGCTACAACAGATTGAGTTAATACTGTCAGTTGAGAAGTTCGACATAGACGTATGTTGCGTATAAAGGCGTATAGATGTAGAGTAGTTGGTAGATACAGACCCGAACGTGTTTATACTATAACATACAGGTATTCTACTGGTCTCCCTCGGGTACCTGACCAAGCACAGTCATCTATACTAGTCTTATCTAGGTTAATTACCTAGATTTTTATTTCATTATTCGGGCATTTATTTCAATTACTACCTACTTAAAAGCATTGCTAAAGCAAATTGCCAAACCACGACCGCAATGCATTGTGGATCTCAATGCAATCGCTTCCTTCGTTAAATATTTCTTACGAAAAGAAATGTTGTTGGTAAATGTGTTACCCTTGTCTGAAATATTACAGACATTTGTTGAATTAGTAAGACAAAACTTGGCCATGCCACACCATTTTGTCCCCTTAAGTTGATATCGTAACCAGAGCCCACTTTCCTCTTGGTCAGCACCGAGAAACGAGGGATGCGGGCACGGGATTGCCCCATGAGTAAGCTGGAACAGAAAATTAGCATTATCAAAGTAGTGTATTATTTTAATCGACAAAGCCTTTTGCCCATCCCAAAAGCTTGGAGATCAAGACAAAGAGCACTGTACGATTACAAGGACGGTGCCTCTCAAAACTAGGCTACGATGCACCTTATTTCCCATGCCCCTGGAAACGCCGAACGACACGTGATTATGACTTAAAGGTATTTGATTTGCGATATCAAAATTTATTTTCCCCTTTTATTAGTAATCAGAACAACGCGTAACACAACACATCTAAGCGTCATATTTATATTTGTATTATCTAAAAATTATTCAATTTTTTATTCAATGTTATTCTAATATTTTTCCCCAATGCGAACTTTTTCAAATGTAAAAAAGTAAAATACAAGAATTTCACACAACGTCCAATGAAATGAAACGGCGCTAGAGTACAAACACGTCACCTTAAATAGTACTAAATACTGCTAAAGTATGCTAATTCTGTGGTTTTCCATTGTTTGATTAGTGCTATTTAGTGTTAAATATTGTAATTTAAGTATTGCACGCTTTTAATATTTGTACTCTTTGGCTATCATATTCCTTTACGACTCCTTTACTCTGTTTACGAGCATTGTTTTTACTCCTCATGGGTTCCCTATGTTTTCCACATATACTATGGTGACCGTAATCAATATACCATCTGTAGCTTTGTCAGCCATCTCTTTTAAAATAAACGTAATGTATTTGACACTTGACGCCTTGAGCCAAACGTACTTTATCGACCATGTCCAAGTTAATGTTAATCTAGAAACGAAGAGCTATAAATCTAAAAGAGAGAGGATCGTTGGTTAGTCTTGTGGGCAGCAAAACACGTGCAAGACATGCAGTCAACTATGATTGGCTCATGTTTTTCAGCTGATATATATCCATGAAATCTTTGGGGCGTGGCCGACCTGCTTAATATACTGAAGAGTATACTGAATGAGTGAAAGAAAGACCACAGGAAGACCAAAACACGAAGGAGTGAATTCTTTACCAAGAGCACGTGTTAAGGATGGAGTTAGCAAATATCTTTGAGCAGGAAAAACAAGTCAAAAATCCTTCAAAAATAACCCTTGTCTTTACGTCATGAAATGTCAAGATACTTTTGCTCTGTCATTTAGACAATTAACTTTTTACGAGATGAAGCAACAGGACTTTGTTCAGTTAGAGTTAGTTTCCCAGTAAAGAATGGAGGAAGATCGTGTTATTTATCTTATGAAACATTTTAGTCATGCTTCATGCTTCGTGACGCTGTTTCTGTGTTCTACGTGTTTACTTTGGTGTAACATTTTACTGGCTAAACGCTCTTACACAGCGCTTGTATCTCCATGCATTTAACCAGGCGTGTTTCAATGATGAATCATGCACGCATGCAATCCCATCGCATTCTCACGTGCATTGTAATGTCCACATTAGGCATTCTGCTCGGTGTAATCATTCAAGATGTCATGAAATAATAGGCGTTAAGTGAGTTCTGCTGCCCCAAGGGCTACGTCTACCGAGTGTTGATTCATCTTGATTCAAGTCCTGAAGATTTGAAGTGGAGTTCTTACTGCACACACTAAGAGTAGACCCCGTCCGACCATCTGCAGAGGGTAGTGTATGGATGCGGATAGGTGGAAAATAAACAGATTTAAGAAGATTAGTAGGTGAATCGAATAGACATAAGAATAACAAGCATTACAGTTATCATTATCATAATGAATCAAAATCAAAATGGAAATTTAGACAAGAAGTATAGGTAAGGCAAGTAGGGAGAGCTGAACTGTTTTGTGATGTGCTGCATCCCCTCCCCTCCCCCCTCTCAACCCCACCCGCACCCGCACCCGCACCCGCACCCGCACCCGCACCCGCACCCGCACCCGCACCCGCACCCGCACCCCCAACAAGAAAAATATTCCAAATTTTAGCAATGAAAAAGAACTTAAGTTTCCAATTTGGATATCCTTTCTTAATTTGAGTACTATTTTAAGACGGATCCTCACCTACAGTATCATGTTTGCCCTGCTTGTCATGAGGATGACTGACTGGCTTTATATTTGGAAATGAGTACGTTATGGTATGTACCCAAGGTCAATGTCCAGCCCACCGATAATGCATTCTCGAAAATAGACGATTTATTAATTAAGAAAAGACTTTGATTGTGGCCTTCGTAAAGCATTCATTTTGTGCTGGCATAGCCGATTTAATTTTGAATTACACAAATGGCGCCAAAGCAAGTTAAAGAGAAACACTGGATATAGAAGATGTGTGATAAAACAATCGAAATATTTTGGTGTTATTCGCAGGAAACTTCTAGAACTGGAGTCCAAAATAATGCCAGAAGTCTGTCACAAGAACAAGCTTCAAAAATGCAACCTTGATGACCTTGTCAAGCCACCAATTCGTTTTCTCCAATCAGTGAATTAAATATAGGCTCAAAATATCAAAGAATCTAGAATGTTCCAATTAATATACCGTATGTTGATGTAGAAAACCATTAGCCAACTGACCTTTGTTGATTACTTGGAACTGTTCCTTCCATTTCCTTCTATTATTAGCCAAAGGTTTTGACCAGGGTTGAACTCGTGACATGTCGACATTGGTCTGGGTGGAGTTTTCTTGCAGGAACACTTCCAGCGCTTCACTGCATACTTCAAAGGCTGGCGACACTATGACATCAATAAATCCTGATAGAGATGATGAAGTTGGTCTTAGTGGCATGCAAGAAAGATAGTTCTTTGTTGACTTTCCATTGGACTAATCACGATTTGTGAAATTCTTTTTGGAAAAACTTGACATTCACATTTACAGCGCATCCCATTCAAACACGAGAAATCGTATGATTTTCTATTTCGATAAAATAAGGTTTTGGTGGACGTCAATCAAAGTGTTTCCATGACATAGTCGGGAAATACAAAGTTTCTTTCGACTTCGACTGACGTCCACCAAGACCAAGTTTGGAGCCAGCCCGTACCGCTCGGAACGAGTTACATGATTTGTCATCCAAACAATAGCACTAAACCTAACCTTACAAAAGCGGTACTGTACTTAGGGAGCAATGAAAATCCACCTTTCAAGCGGTACTGATTTACTCGAAGTTTTTCGGGACAGCAAATCATACGATTTCGCGCGCGTATGATTGAGAAAAGCTGTAATGGAGACATTTGACTTGGGGTGCAATGTTTTCTTAGACTAAAGACTGCCATCTTCTTGAGAATTACTGGTAAACGAAATAAGAGTATGTTGTAGAAATATCATATCCACTTTATAAGCCAGTAAAATGTTAAACGACGTAAACGTTAACGTTACTCAAGGAAAAGGCACATGGTTTAAAACCATTATGCCAAACCTCACTCACTGTATTATCTTCCCTAAAGTCACACCACTTGTCACTACCTCAAGTATTATATTTAGATTTAACTCAAAATAGAAACCTTATTCCTGTCTGGGAAAGAACACCCAAAGGATCCGAAGAGGTTATTCCATGACTTACCAACTTGACTCTCAGGAATACGAGTTGAGGAGCGGTCACACAGTGGGGACACGTCGAGTCCCAGTTCAATCTCCATATCGCCCTAGGACATCAATTAAAATTAGAGGTTAACGTTGGAATGATTTGCCTGTCACTAGCTGGAAATGGAAGTCGAAAGTCAAACTTCTGACTCAATAACGGTCAGTGAGTTTTACGAAGATTCATGAGCGGTCATCCGATTGTTGTCTGGAAGGCTATAGTACGGTTAAAGTTATTTCTCCGGGGCCGGAGGCTATCATACTTCCACTGTAGTTTTCTATCATGGACTTCTGCACTTTCAGTAACTGTCTGTCTTCAAGGCATTTAAAGGCATTTTCCTTATATTTTAAGTAATATCATAAGCAAATAATATATAGTTTGAATTTGGCCATGAACAGAGTTTTCAATTCAGAGAATTGGAATTTTCTTTTATTAGTTTTCTTAGTTGTCAATACATTTTATTTTTTTGTATATTATTTTTGATAATGTTGTAAAGCACTTTGGAATTCTATGTAAAGGGCTCAATAAAGTTACTATTGTTATTAACTGAGGAGACTCGAACCATGAATCCAGACGTTTCTTCGCATAAAGATAGCGGCTGATAAACAGAAACAAACGAAACAGATGACTATGTAATGAAATTTTGATCTTACACCCTTTCTAATAAATAATACTTAAACTTATCGATAAAAAAACGGAATATGAATGAACTTTCCAGTATAGACCTAACTTATTATTACTAGACCTAAGCCCTTTACATGTTCAGAAATTAAATTAATGTTAATAATCTTTGTTCAAATAGTATTGTGTTGGTTAATACACCGCACGTAGGATCCGGTTTTCAACAAATTCAATGATTAGTTTTCATGAAGTCCAGTCATAATACAGGAGAATGAAAAAAAGCATTAACGTTTTCATTTACAACCAATAAATTGCCGAAAGGAAGATAAAAATTATCTTTTCTCCGCACTGGAATCTTTTGATCGGCGTCTAATTCAAGATTATGAAGTGGATGTTTTATTTGCGCTCAAAGCTTATTTAGGAAACCATTTGATACAAAGTCCACATGGTATAAATGTGTACCCGACAAAACGATTTAAAACATTGATTAAGAATTAAAGCTAGTAGTAATGATTTTAGATTAAGGAGACGTGAAGATTGCTTTTATGGTATATATTGTATAATGGACATGTCCTTATGCCACAACGATGCCATGCCGCGTGATTGGTTCGAATATTACTGTGCGGGGTAACCGTGGAGCACGCATTCCTAGTCGGTCACGGCACGATCACGATACAGCAATGAAGACATCTGTAGAACCAATCTAGTGAGGTTAAATACCCGGCAAAAAAGGAGGCACACGCACACATGTCTTGTTGCGCATACCATTAAGATTGTTGTTTGCGTTACCGTGCCGTGACCCTGACGCACGCACACATGTCTTGTTGACCCTTCGTTACCGTGACGCCCGCATGCCCCAACCGTTGTATTCTTGGTTTTCACCTACGTCATCATAAATTTCAAAAGCGTAAATTCGCACTATAATGAAATAGAAGTTATATATTCTTGTAAAGCGGTCCAAACTACATATTCTGGCCAAATTTTAAGGCTGTAAAGCATTTCGTTGCGGAACTATAGGCGAGTAAACATGACGCAATTTTTGGTTAAAATGTATGGGGCGGCCATCTTGGTGTTCCAAGTTGGTACACCATCATGGCGCACGAAACTCCAAAGGCTTAAAGTAATGGAATAGTTAATATGTTTGACTACATTTCACTTAAATATACTTTAAATAGATATTTTGAACGTGTCTAACGAAAAATCTTTCAACTAAAGTAAATTGTTTTAATATTTTCATCGCTATTTGGATAGACGTGACGGTATTGTGTGAAACAAACTCAACCTTCATAACTCGGGAACCAAACATCGAAATGACTCGAGATTTTTTCTTGTGACTTATAAAACTGACTTCTAAAACATACTTTAGAAATGTCTTTATACGATCTATAGTTTAGATTTTCATGTTTTGATGACGTCATGTGAAAACCGGCAATATGGTTCCCAGCCTCATTAAATTGGTTCTGACGTGGATGCCTACCTGAGTAAAAAATTCTTCCATAATTCTTTGTGTCCATTGCTGGTGTATTTGCCAGTCTTTGGTTGGATTGCTGATATCCGCTACGTGTAAGATCAACTGTAGCAGTTCGCTATTTTCTATTGGACTGGAAAATAATCACAAGAATGATGCACTTATTCATAGCTAGAAACAAAAGTCAACTGACCAAAAATACGAAAGTCTGATTGTAGGAAATATATTACTTGTGACCGCACACATGTACGCCCCGTGATTAACCATTCTGTGCCATGACCGTGGCGAGTGACGTCATCATGCTTCAGAGAATAGGTGTATGAAAAAGATCGATTTATTTTTACCTTCCTCCAACTAAAGCAACTTTTGTAGTTCTTAGCTGTTCGAAGTGGGACGTCATGTCTGTTGCTAGCACCATATCGATCACAAGAGACCGAAGTCCACTGGTGAAATAAGATAAAAATTAGGTTATATCCGATCCTCATTAAGAGGTCAGGGGTTGGAAATGTATACATTCATTCACAGGTAGCCCAAGCTTGGTTTCTGTGGTGTCCTGTTATAAGGAAATGTATGGAGATACATCAAAACTTTCAATAAAATCATTGAAACGTGAAATAAAGCCTCGAAAGAAGTGCTATTTCTCAATGATCGGGTAAAATTTCGAGGCTTTATTTCACGTTTCAATGATTTTATTGAAATTTTTGATGATTCCCCATACATTTCCTTATAACAGGACACCACAGAAACCAAGCTTGGGCTACCTGTGATTCATTAGCAAAATCGTTGTCGGGCTCAAAACATCGAACACAGAAGCTGAGAATTGGGAAATGACATAATTATCCTCTGATGTATTTATTCGAGTTACATAGTCGATATTAAATGTGTTAAAAGACTCTATGCTTTCTGTCACTGCAACAATTGACGAACATTAATTCCATGTGTCGTACCACTGGATACATCTAAGACATACTTCCCATGTACCATTGCGGTCTTGCTTCTATAATCTATGTGTTCAATCTGACTGATTTTGCAATAGATTGTATACGCTAATTATTGTTTATAGATTATATAGGTGGCATGCTCTCCCACCCCCCACCCCTATATCAGGAGCAAAAAGAAATATGTCATGACACACAAGCCAACTGACATGAGTCTGATACGAAGAGGACTTTTGATTGATTCTACTGTAGAATCAGTAAACTTAACATTCTCAACCCGACCTTTCACTATCTAATTTAAAAATGCCGAGAAATAACACGCAATCTTCTATTTTTTATAACTAAGAAAAAACCAATGCCAAATGTTGGATTCGAAGACTTATCGATCACATCATGGCCAGATTGATAATTTTTCATACCGAGAATTGGAGGAACCTAATTAATTATTAACCAATCCGCTTTATCTAAAAATATGTCAATCCTAAGGATTAAGCTTTACGAAAAGCGTGATGGAATTCACGCAAAGTTGGGCCAAAGATAGTTGCGAATCTATTGACGAATTTGTATCAAGATTCGTGCAGCTGGATAGTAAAAATAAAACCTCTGTGGTGGAACACCGTTGAACCCATAGGTCGCACATCAGCCCCTAATGCCCCGGGGAGAGTTTAGAATCTTCAGCAACCTAGACCTCTAGTCGACCAAACTTTGCGCAAAGATGGTTGTCGATGGAAGAGACGTCAGAAGATGGGGACAAAGCCTAGAATACACCTTACATCGCTAACAATCTTTAATAAATACAGCAGATGGGGCATCTGGAAGTCACGCCGATTTACCTGTATTGATTGTCATTTAGATTTGCTAAAATATTTCGGTCATTCTGTGAAGAGATTAGAACAAAATCCCTTAAGTAAGAAATCAGATTAATATATTAGCTTTTCGGTAAGTCTAAATATGAAGAGATAAAGTTTTAATCAAATACATGTGGATCAAAAACCGCTCGACAGTCCATATATTGTGGTGTCATGTTGGGTTGCCAGTACCACGCGTAGAGCGTGTCGAATCTTCGGACTACTTCCACGCGGCGCGTTTGGAAGATAAGGAAAACAAAACGATATCAATTTAAAATGAAAACAAAACAAAGAAAGTAATGACAAGAAGCGTCGAGGAAAATTGAAGAACTATTTTAAAAGGCCAAGTATATTTGCGCTTTCTGAATTTGTTGTTATTGCTGGTAGGTGGTGATGGAAGGGTAAACGGTGGCATTTTTGTTGGCTGGCGAAAACAAACGATTCTGCGGCCCCATATCTAAGCATGTGCATCTAGGGATCTCAAAAACAGAATATCATTAAAGCCAACTGAATAGATAACCGTTTCATTTTTGAGCATTGTTCTTAGAAGTCAAGAGCAGAAACTATTCTTTTGTTATTTTATTGATTAAATATCAATAATATTAGTTAATAATAATAACTCACATCTTGTAATAGTTTAAATGCCGCGGTAAGATGATGGTTTTCAAGTACGGAGCGATCATTGTACAATAAAGCCATTTCTGACCTGTAGAAAGAAATGGGTAACGTGTAAGCCAACCCATTCAGATATGAAGGTATCTAAGGAAAATAATAGAAGATAATATAGGTAAGTTGTAGTGCTTGGGAACGAGGTTATTCCGGGCGAAAGCCCTTGGAATTAAATTCGGAAAAATTAATTTCCGACCTCGCTGGGATTCGAACCCACGACCCAGCGAGGTCGGAAATTAATTTTTCCGAATTTAATTCCAAGGGCTTTCGCCCGGAATAACCTCGTTCCCAAGCACTACAACTTACCTATATTATCTTCTACTATTTCATTAGTGCCACGCGGTCCACATACTCTCATCTAAGGAAAATAATATTTATCTTGGCCACTTACACTAATCTTACACTGCACTACACCGTGCACGATTATGCTGTTGGAAGGCAGATAAGTGCTTATCCGGGATTTACGTTTATAGAAAGACGTCGGTTGCCATAGAAACTAAAACTGGATTAGCTCTAATCAGTTTTAAAAAATGAAGGACTGGGTCCAGATGCATGACATAATCGGCCTAAACGCGTTATCTAGGGATTATTGTCTTAGCCTGTCCATCCACTTGCACCCCATTGACCTGATTCTGGTTGATGTAACAAGTGACGTAACCTTGACCCCACCATGCATCACTAAACTACTAGCAATGCTATGGGTCTTTATTGCAACTCACATGACGGGATTCCTGTGTTGTTAAGGTAAGGGACCAGGTTTTTCCCCATAAAGAAGGAATGAAATGGAATGGAATGGACTGCACTGCATTGCATTGCACTGCCTGAACCAAACTGGACTAGTCCGGTAACTGTATCTGAAGTGGCGCAGTCGTTTGATAACTTACCTTGAATTAATGTGAAAAGCGTTTGTAGTTCCTGTATGTTCCAAATCATGAATAATGGCAGAGAGAAGAAGAGCGAAGATTTCCAAGTCTGACAGACATTGCTAAGAACAACAAAAGAGACCATCGTTAGCAAAAGGGTTTTGGTTTTCTACGAACGGAAAAAATGAGCTATGAGTTCACGTTGAGTCTTTGCTTTACTACTTTACTAGCCGCAAGAATGGACCTCGATAACAAGGCGCCATGTTTTTTGCACATGCTGAAGCACTTGAATGCGAGGCTACGCGAGGAAAATCTATTGTTCCTGTCAACATGGCTGCCGCGTGAGAAAGGGTCGATATGTACAATATCACTTGCATGATATCTACTGCGGTATAAACTACGCTTTCATTTCCTCAATCTGTTCTCCGGTAAAAACAAGGCATTGTACCTGTTGCCACTGACGTGACACATTGTGGTATAATACATAGATCACTCACCGCTAGACCAATCACACTTAGAAAGTAAAAGACAGTATGCGTGACATCTGTGGCGTGACATTCGTTGTGGTATGGGTTGCCATTCTTTTGATAGCCTTCTTCTACAGCTAACAAGAAACGGTCTAGGCTTCCAACATTCACCTTAGAAACACCAACAATAATATGGTTTAGTTGGTTAAAATGGTCAAGCTTGGCTTTTAAAGAACTTCGTGTATCAGTGTACCCCAATGTAGGCAAAAGGGGATTCAAGCCTACTAATTATTCATCACGAGACAACGATCCAAGTGGTTCCTCATCACGTGATTGACAAGTGCAGAAGCGCATACTATGTCTTCAAAAAAGACGCAGAAAATAAACACACGCCATTTTCCCGGAAACCGTCAAATTTGAATCCGGTTTGATGTGTGGTTAAAGAGGAGGACAAACCTATGAATAGCGACGCAACACATGCCAAGAACCAGGAAGGGCTTTAGCCTCCCCACTAGCTTCTTAGGGTTCTTTGAGGTCCTTGAGAACTGTAATCCAATGTTATAACAAAAGAAACGGCGACCATATTTGATGACATAATGACGTCGAATCTTTTGTTAACTTCTTCCAACATGGCGGCTGTGAAAACCATCAATGTATGCAGCAAACGGTCTTGTTTCGTATCTTCTTTCTATAACTTACCTTGAATAATCGTAAAAGATCCATCCTACTGAGCACTTCGTGCCCCATGAATCGTAATGAATGACCTTCAGTTGCTTCGCTCAGTGAAAACACATCAAATGTCCACTCGTTTAATTTCTGATCACAGAAAATGAGAACAGCATTAAATGTGCCATCTAAAACAGTAGCTATCTTCCCTATACAGCTATTTTAAAAAGGTTGTGCAGGTTTTGTTGGTCTTGCAAGTCGCATGTTACATATACCGAGCGTGAATTGCACCATGGGTCATTGATGTGAATTCAATCCGAGCGAAAGGACACAAAGATGTGGGATCAACCCAAACTTTCACGTTGCGTTTTCCCTTTTTTGACATTATTTACATATATGCCGAAATATAATATATTTCAAGCCAGCAACATGTCCGCAACATGCAACAAGCAACGTTTTAACGTTAAAACATGCAGCAAAGCCTTCACCAACTTTTTTTATACCTACATCGTATATCAGTGACGTAAGGGAAATTAGGGAGATGACAATAGCAAAAACATTTTTCAGGAGTTTTCTTATTTGTTTTTCTGGGTCACTCTCCCTTGTAGGGCTTTATTACTCTCGCCCTAAAGCGCGAATATACTAATGATAAAATTATCAAAGCAGAGGCAACATGCATACAGACCTTTCCTAAATTCGCTTGAGTGAGCATGAAGCAATGGCCCCACTGAGTCTTGGTTAGACTTGCTTGTTTATACATTTACAATATTTTGATCAAGTCCAACTTCGACTTGAAGCCATCGTTTCGTGAGTTACTCGAGCAAATTTCTGTAAATATTTATTACTGTACTTACTTCGAAATGTATCAGCACTTCTTCTGGTACTTGAAGCTTGTTTCGTTCAGAAGCATTTTTTAATATTCTGATAAATTAATACATTAAGAGAATTTAACATCTTTTTCAGATTGACGTTTCGAGGAAGTTTCAAGACAGGGTTGCATGAGAGTAGAGGGGTGTTTGATGGAACTACTCTGAAAAGATCAGTTATGACTCTATAATATATAGAAGTTTGTTCGACGACTATGAAATTCTTGTGGTATTTTTTGTTGCCTGTGATCATGATTGTGATTGGTCGATTAGGTCACGTGCCACTTGATCACCCTCCTCTGGAGACTTTGTGTGTTTTTTTCCAAGAGCAATGTTTATAATAATGAAGGATTGATTGTCGATGCAGTTGCGTTAAATCACTTTGAGATTTGCATGATTTGCCTATAATGAGCCACACAATATTCATGCCTTTTCGCGCACTACGTATACCGGCTTATCCGGCTCTCCGCAGCAAAAGTTACATTGTTTTCCTATATTATATTTATTATATAAGTAGTCACTGATTCCGATGCTTAGCTCATTTAATAGCAAGTATGTGCAGCGAAGGCATGCAATGTACGATGTATGTGTGAAATTTAAGGAAAGTTGCTCGTTGGCTCTCTCCTGTGCTTTGCGGCCTGGATTTTCTCCCGTTTCCCTCCCTCCTCAAAAATCACGTACGCAAAGCTCAAATGAATCTGCTAAATCACTAAATTCAAAATCAATTCGCAATGCACTGGTTGCCACTTATTTTCGCATCAGTTACTAAAAATCATATGTAGCCATATAGACAACAAAACAAACGATGTAGATTGACTTACTTATTAACGTAGAGACTGGCTTTAACAGCATGCACCACACCCCTAAACGTGTGCCTTGGCATGATACTCTTCCTCCGCAACGTGCCCGGTCCACGCGCAAACGTTGTTGCTATCCATTCACGAACCTCGTCACTTACTACATCAGTGTAAAGCTCGTCGTCTATATCGCTGATGGCGCTCATGGATCCTCTGTGGAGACAACATAGACATGTTAGGAAAAAACATCCATCCATCCATCCATCCATCCATCCATCCGTCCATCCATCCGTCCGTCCGTCCGTCCATCCATCCATCCATCCATCCATCCATCCATCCATCCATCCATCCATCCGTCCGTCCGTCCATCCATCCCTCCATGCATCCACCCATCCATCCATCCATTCATCCGTCCGTCCGTTTTTCTTTTCTTGATTCCTCCGGCAACCATTCGCTACGTTTATTCTCTCATTTTATTTCTGATCTGTTAACGTCCACAGTGACCTTATTTAATGCATTAACTCATAGATTTTATAAGCAGCATTCGTCCTTCTTCTTGCATTATCGTTTGTAGTACAATAATAGTCCTTTTATTTCCAGTTACCTGTAATCTCGCATGTTCGACGATGCGACATCCATGATTGCCACTGCCTGGCTAAGCTCTTCTTTCATATCCGAAACTGAGTTGATTTTCCCTTCATTTAACTGATAAATTAAATGGCGTAGTCTGGAAATAAAGCACGAATGAATCATTAGATTATAAAAGATACTATAAAGTTTGTGATGACAAAACGTTTGTCGTCGAAAAAGTGAGGAAGAGTCACTGAGAACGAAGACAAACTAGCGAGAGGGAGAGAGAGAGAACGAGCAAGACATACGCATGGACAGACAGATAGACAGTCACTGTCAGAGAGGCAAAACAATGTGTGTGTGATAGAGCCAGACAGACAGACGGGGACAAATAGACAGACAGAGAGTGTGAGACTAAGCGACAGAGAGTGACAGACGAGAGACATATACATATATTCTGGTATGGTATACTTTGAGAGTGCCAATGTAGTAGCAGTATCGGTATAATCATCCATAGACTTGGGTCGTGGTTTGTACTCTGTGTTCCTTCTTCTGATGATCATTGATTGTGTTGGTGCTGCAGTGTTGCTCGCATTGTTCTCGTTGTTCACATTTTGATCGCTGCTGGTTGAAGCCGTAGTGACATGGATCAGCGGTTGTACGTTTTCACCTTCAAAAGAAGTAATTAGTTAAAGTTGAATCTGATAGAAGTTTTGCACCATCACTTGCCAGCGGCCATGTCAGTTTGCACAACAATATAACATTCCTTTACTCCGTGGAATTAAATTCTTTTTCATGTAAAACGATTGCATTGTTCCTGCCATAATCCAGCATGGCTGCCGTCATGTGATTGCACTAGTTGCACTAGCTATAATCAAAGGAATGACTGAATAGTCCCTTTCACAGTTCCCTGCGCCATCTTGAAAGGTAGCCGTGCCTCGAAGGGAGACAAACGGCGGTTTGCAATTATATCATTAGACCTTTTTTCTACATTCATCAATTATTCACGTCTCTGTCATTGCAAGCTCACTGTTGCCCTTGCTTCGATACAAAGGCACGGTTACCTTTCAAAATGGCGCAGGGAACTGTGAAGGGGACTATTGCGTTGATGACAGTGATTGAAACCTTTTCGTTTTACGCGGAATACAAATGACTAGGAAACATTAATTTTGACCCACAATGCATTTCGCGCCTGGATTCGCAGGATAACTGACTTATAAGCGAGGCTAAGCCTGTGCAAATGAGTCTGTTGTCTTCAAAAACAGCGGAATGCATCGGCAAGCCATACTTCATAGGACATATATACTTTCCCTTGTATAGTTAGAACCTGTATATCGTCACTCCGCCTTCACTCCAAATAGCTTTTCTTTTCTCGTCTCGTCTCATTACATAGTAATCACGACCCTTACGACATTCATGATTATTTCCATGGGAAAAACCGAACTTGCGAAATCAAATCGTTTTTAGGTCCAATATATTTGCACTTAAAAGCTCAGTACACATTGCGTGTACCTCAGGGGCATGTCGAAAATTTTTTTTAAAGAAAGTTCATTAAACCAGCTTATTTGTTGTGATGAATATATCTGTCGGTAGTTTAACCGCACGACGGAAGACAAGGGCAAAAATATGCTTTGGATTAAATCAGATATCAACTCCGTGGTGGTGATTTCTCTGATTCAAAAGCAATTACATCTCCAGCTTCGAGACTAGAAAACGGCCATCTCTCCAGTGACAGTAGCCCCGTTAGGGGAGGGGAGGGGGATAAGAGAGGGACAAAGCCTCGAGGTAACAAGGATGACAGCACTTTTTGACAGCCACCCTTTTGATCAAACGATATTAACAATCACCTTTCTCCTAGAGGGCATTCCTTTGAATATTATCCAAAGCCAAGGAATCTTAAGCTTAAAAAATATTTTGAGAACGTCGCATCCGATGTCATGTAAATAGCAACTTTCTTTTGTAGAAATTGAAAGGTTTGAAAGATTGTCTCGCTAATATCCCGTTTGCATGACATTCCTATTCTTGAGAAATATTTCTTGGATATCGAGCGCTTCTTGTGGTTTTCAAATAAAAATGATTTTTATTGTCCAACTCAGAGATAAGATAAAACCCCACTTGAGTGCTCTAAATGGGCGAGAGTTAGTTTTCATCGACGATCTTTGCTTCTGAATGAAATATTATGACAGTCTGATTGATATCAGTAGCTAAGAATAGGCCAGCTAAATTAAAGTTCAGTCTAATTCGAAATTAAGTCTCTTTTGTCGATCAAAACAAAGCTAACCATTCAAACAAAGCCACACAGGGCAAAACGTGTCGGTAAATCACAGTGATATTGTGCACAGCCAGATAATAATCTCATAAAATGCTACGAGCTGATTTGAAAAACGTTTCATCTGAGGAGAACATTTATTAAAAGACGGATTCTAGATTAGAAGCGGTTAAGAAAAAAAGGCGAAAAATGAAATAAATAGATTTGTTTTAGAGAAATAATTATTGTACACGTTGCGTTGACATGCATGGTGGTCCACCAAAGATAGATAGTTAACATCTATATGACTAACAAATGACAAACCTTTGACTTGCAAATAAGTGGCTTTTTGATACTTAGAGCTGAGATACTGCCTCCTCTTTTGATTAGGATTGTATTTGTTTTGTAACTAGAAAATTAGCTTTGTAAGGCTTTGGTTCCATTTTGATTAAAAAAAACCTAATTACTTTTTGTATCCGTTTCCAAAGTCAAAGTTTTTAGGGGTGGTCGAATTTTCGTCAGTAACGTGTTTATTTACCAACTCAAACAGTGAACCTCGAATTTACTCCCGCTAAAGCTTTTGAGTTTGAACACAATATCATCATTAACTACTGGCCAATCATCCAAATACGAGTACGTATGCCTAGCAACCGATCCGTCGCCCATAGCAACAAGTACCTAAAACATCGCCAACTAATTGTAGTTCATTTTTGACAATTTTTGGCTAGCTTAAGCTGCTTATCTAGAGAGTAAAGATTAATCTCTATTTACAGTTTTAGATTTCATTTTGGAGCTGTTTTTCTACGCTCGGCGAGTGAAGATTGTGGAAATATCGTCCATTAAGGAGATCTCCTTGTCTGTTTTGAATAATTCAAATGATTCTTTTATTAAATATCTGGTCGAGAATTGATTGAATACTAGAAAACTAACAAGCTGGACAAATACTGGTCTATTTTTTCAAAAGAGGTTATTTATTTTAGACTCGAGTTTCGAAGCATTTCTTGTGTTGAACGCATCTGGGAGTTGGAGTTAATCAGTTAATCGAAGTTTAAAAACGTCAATTTATTTCGGTCAATTCTTTCATCATTACTAGCTGACATTTGATCTCAGCGAAAAACACGACCCCTTGTTTTTAGTCCGTACCACGAAGCGTTTTTGTTCTTTAAATATTCGACTATTTTGCACCATAATTCATTTCTCATTTGGTGGTTTGATGGTGGTGTAAAAGCCCGACCCCCAGTTGTGGTTCTTTACAAATGTATTTGACTTGTTTTAATGAGTAGGACGATATTATAGATGAATGGGAGGGGGTTAATACCTCATCGTGACCAAGTAATATTTATATCACTATTTTAAAGTAGCTTTCAGTGTTACTGACTCTATCACACTTGACTCTCAAAGCCTAGCAGTTGGTCTATCAATTTGAAGTTAACTTGGCTCGATAGTGCTGAGTAGTCTTAGGATTTTATCAACGTATTTGCCTATCAGTCAAGAAAAACTGAAGCAGTGCATCAGGTGGAGATGACCCACTGAATACCTACCAAACCAGTAAAAAACTGCCGAGGATTAATGATAACCACAAAGCGATAGCAAAAAGAAAGAAATCTGGAGAATCACCGCAAAAACACTTGCGGTATTTCGTGTTATGGCAAAGATCTCAGCTGAATTGAAAATTAAGAATTCATAAAAGTAAAATTGATTAAAAAGGAGGCAACTTAGAGACAAGTTCATAGGATGGCTTTTTTTGGCTATTGTTGTTGTTTTTTCTACAGATCGAGAGGCATTATCTCCGAGGTTGTTACTCTAGTGTTCTGGCTTGCTGTTCGTCGTGTTTGATTGTTTTTAAAAACACTAGCTCAATTTGTGCCGCCGACAATAAATAAAGATATATTCCTATGGTACAAAAACAGCTGTCAGTTCTACTAACTATCAAAATACCTAAAAGAAATGAAGTATAAAATTGATGAAATCTCGAATCTTCAACTCCTTCAAAATGGACATATGTACTACAAACAACGCGAAGCTGAACCCTAGGTCACCTTTATACGGTGATTGTCATGCTTACGTCTTAATCTGAAATATACCTTCTCGAAGCTAGAAAAAGTTTCCCTATCGGGTTCTGTCAAATTTTAAAATATTAAAAATATTCCTTTTTGGAAGATTTTTTTTCCACTATATTTTCAACGGCTAGTTTTTCGCCATTTTTAGCCCTCTTCATAGTTTTTCAATATTATCTCATGACATTTAAAAAAAAAATAGCCCAATTATTCCTTTCGCTCTTGTACCATTGAGATTGGATTATCAGTGTTTGAAGCCATTTGGCGGTACGCACACCACCAGTCTCACTTCAATTTCGAACCTGTTTATAAATCGATTCGACTACGAGTTTGTTTTTATTATAGTTTTAGCTAAGATCGATCCTATCGATTCTATTCCGAGTCGTCATTTTTTTTCCTGCGAAATTTTGAAATGGCGACTGGGAAACGGAAGAGTTTCATGCTAATTTATGAAAGATGCGGTGGCTCTCGAGAAATGATATCCAAGGCAGCCGAAACTGAATGTCAAGATATTCCGCTAGCCTGAATAACTTTTGGTCATGCAGGTGATTTAAAAGAAAGAGCGAGAGCTCAGCAAACAAAGTCCAAGAGCAGAATAATAAACACAGTTCAGTCAATCGAATCTCTCTCTGATCTCAGCTTGACTGGATTTATTGATTTGTCAGGCTGTAAGCGAAGATCTTTTGACGAATTTAGGCCTGTTTTCTCATTTTCATATACAATCAATCAGCCTTGCTTCTCAGTGAAGAATCATTAAGCATTCAATTTTTCTACTACGTCCACTCACTTTGAAAAACGGCCCAGCTAGACACTAAATGTTACCAACTTGTTAAGAAACGCAGTAATATTTTTAATTTACAAATTTGACGTGGGATTAAGATGGCCGGGTAGTGAGAAGTCATCAACCAGCGACAAGGTGAGGAAGAGTGAGAAGACTGAAGTGTAGCACACTGAGTCTGTATTAGCATCTCTCGTGCACCCGTAACACTATATTGCCTTCAAATCATATCACGAAAAGATGACCTACCTTCGCGCGCGTTTTTCACGTATTTGTTGTTGGTTTTTTGGTCATTCTCGAGTGAATCCTGTTTCTCTTTCATCGGTTTGGAACATCGTAAACCCATAACCAGGTCAGCGTTCGACGAGCTACCTCCAAGCTACGCTACGAAGAGAGAGCCAGCAGACGTCTCACAGTAATTCAGTATTCCATATTTGCTAAACTGGCATCTTTCAACACCACATCCTCAGAAATACGCAACTCATTTTAATCAGTCCAGGTTCAAGGGTAACATGATATCGGTCATACTCCAAACAGGGCATTCCTCTGGCGGCGGCGCCGAATAAAGTGCACGGCGCAATCAGCTAGATAGGAAGTGTGACCCGTGACCAAAACTTTACTGGCATATGACTGGTGGGGACTAAATTTGTCAGAGCTAAAAATCCCCTGTGAGTTTTGTTAGTGTTTTAACTCAACTCCGCCGAAAAGAACACATCTGTGATCATGGCTGACAGTCTTTTTAAGGTTATTCTCAGTTAAAACTCAGCGAATATTTTTTWAAATTCTTTTTATGGTACAACACCGGGCAACACCGACCATGAACGGTGATGTAAGGCGGGAGATTTTTGAATACATTACTGATATACTGATTCAAGTGATCTGCTTAATGAGCATTTGACTTTTTTGGGGGTATTTTCGTTATAGCAATCCGCTTTTTGGTTGTTCTGTTGTAACGAGGAAGATCAACGGGCCTTAGGGGGAACGAGAGGGCGACGTTGAGAACAGCTTGTTAACCAGTCTTTGACAATGGGAGAATCCTTTGAAGAAGCGGAAATATAATAAGCGGTTTTTTTATTCACGACTATCAAAACATATTTCAATTGATCCCAAAACACTGATGCAGACGTATAACAGGCGAGTAGGATGAATAAGTCTAAAGTATAATATTTTTTAATTTAAGCTGTTTATAGCCGCAAAAAGACAAAAAATGAAAACCCTACTGAGAGGGAGAGAGAGTAAAAAAAGATTGAATGAAAACATTGTTGATTTGTTATTTAAATGACAGAATTGTGTAATTAAGATCAGTGAAAAGCGTCATTGCAGACATAAACTCGATAAAAATAATCAGTCAGGTTTCTGATAAAACGATTGCAGCTTCACTCGCAGAAAAAAACAACTATCGCAAGTGAACAGATTTTATTTTGTTGAGGCAAATATTTCGACGCTGCCTTCTTATATTTCGCACCTACAATCTTTTATTTTCTTATTTCTTTTTTCCTAAGTGATTTGTAACGCATGTAACAGCAGATATCCTGGTTGCGACAATAAAACCCTAATCAACAGTGCATCTTGAAAAACATTATGACATAAGCCTTGTTTATGAGATGCTAAAAAGCATTCTTTTGAAAACTGTTTTGTTTAGTAGCTATTGTCAAATATTGTTGGTTCTTTCTGTCATTGATTAAGGCATTAGAAGTTCCACAATGAAGATCTTTGCCATCTTTTCGATTCTTTTGGTCCAATTTCCAAGTGTCTTTTTGTTCGTGAGATCCTTAAGTGTTGTTCTTGCTCGGAGGAAAAAAAACATAATATATTATTATGCAAGCACAGTATAAAATAATTAGGGTCATTACGCATGCGCAGGACCTTGAATATTCTTTATTCAGTCCTCTCCAACTAAACTTGGTAGGGTCTCGCATCGGGATCAATACTACCTTCAAAGTATTACTTCATTAAGTGTAGTTCTTCAAAAGATAGATGGGCTAGTAGGTGAGGTGTTAATAGTATAGTTAATCCTATGACAAAAACGACCCTTGAAGAAATATCATAAATTCAATCAAACTTATCCAATCCACAAGCAGAATGGGCAAAAACATTTCTTGGTCCAATTGACTTCTTTTCATGGCAGCCAAGATGTATTGAAATGAGATGGTAATAGTTTTCTATGTTCGTGTTAGTGCCATTAACATCAGGTCGTTATGACGGGATGAGTATCTTTTCAAACGACACAATTTGTCTCCTGATAACTGCGCTTTAATCCTCCCTCCTTTCAAACAGTGAGACAAGCGTCTTAGCAACAGAAGTAAGCAAATAAAATTTGGGTGTCTTAGCTTTCATCTACTTGTTGATCCTCATTTCAACCACACAATTTCCAATTTTGACAGTTAAGCTACCTCCTAAGTGCTGTCGGCTAAATAACGAGTCCATTTGATTCTAGCATTGTCCCCTTTTTTTAGCCAGACATTAATGTTTCATGAACCTTATAAAGGTTTTTTCATGTTTCAAAGGTCAGAACGGCGCCAATCTTTTTAATTAAAAAGTAACCGTTCATTTGCGTCATCATGGGCGAACAATGGTGACGTATACACGTTATTAACGATAGCAGCTGATCAATAATCACTTAGTTGACCTCTTGTTAACCCAAAACCTTTTTCTTGCTTTTTTAATTTCTTTGCTGCATCTTTTCTACGATTTCCGTTTAAGTTTTTTCATTTTTTAAGCTCATTTTATTCTCTCTTTTGTTCCAAATCTTTGGTTTAAATCTTTTTGAATTATTTTTTTCCTTCAATAATTCAGTTAATCATTTTAACACTTTTCTTGGTGCGCGTCTCCTTCATGATCCTTCACTATACTCTCCCTTCTCTTGTCTTTCTCTGCTAAATATCTTCATCCATCCATCCATCCATTTATCCATCTATCCATCTATTCATCCATCCATCCATCCATCCATCCATCCATCCATCCGTCCGTCCGTCCGTCCGTCCGTCCATTAATTGAAATGGTTTCATTCATGCATTTTTATTTCCAACCAGTTTAGCGCCTTCAGGCCGTTTCGAAGGCCTTCTGATATAACTAACACCTTGTTCGTGAACATCGACTTGCATTACTGGAGATGGCCTTACCAACACCAATACAAAGGCGCTGTCTCGTAATTGCAACGACTGGACATACTTTTAAATGGCTCAGACGATTACTTTAGAATCATGGGCGGTCTCTCCTCACCTTTTCACTACTGACTAGATCAGAAACATGACCACACACATGAGATGCACCTCATACTAACCATTTAAACTAATACGCATTGAAAACCCGGTTAAGATATTCGCAACCTCTGGTTCCGATTTTATGTATTATTTTTGAATTAAAATAAAAGTCGAACTGTTGCATGTCAGAATGATAGCAAAGCCATTTACATCAAAGCTTATCTCTCCCTTACTCGTGCTGATGGAGTTCATGTAGATTTTATATAGACTTCGCGCCAAAACTCGCGCGCGCGCGCCATCCATTCATGCCTACCTACGCCACTTTAGAAGATCATCTTTACGGACTAAATTCTTTTTTCCCCGCAGTTAAGACGTTCTAAATGTGTTGCGCAACACGGCTCACTCATAAAAACTGATGATGTATTTCTAAATTTCTATATGGAAAAGAGTTTGGCATGCAGTAATGGCGGATAGATAGCAAGTAAGTGTTGTCAAATATATCCTCGTTGAATGGGTCGAATTAGAGCACCAGGAAGAGAAAATTGAAGGATAAAAAGCACAATTGATTTTGGAGTTTATTTTTAAAATGATTTTTCTATTTTTGGATGTTTTAAAGTATAATTACCGTAATTGGGTGTTAGGATAAATACGGCGGATGGCTACAGGGCAAAATAACTAAATAAATAGATGAAATAAATGATAGACAAATAGATAATATGTAAACAAAGATAAAGTTACGGCTGATATCATTTGGTTTGGAAAGAAGAACAAAATTCCTGACCACATTGATTTGGATATTTCGGTTATACGCTAGCTAAGGCACACACGTGCCAATGGCTTTTTTATAGGTCTTACTTTGATATAATAGTGACAAGATTGAACACTCGTAGCTGTCTTCTTAATGAAGGTTTTCTGCCGTGATAAACTGCTGCTTAAAGGCTTTTCTGAAAAGCTCAAGTTTAAAGCTGTTTGATACTGAAATCGTCTTTTAAGCAACGAAGGGAGTGCTGCGATGAGAAACTTCTGCTTAAGGGTTTATGAGAAACTAGAAATAAAAGCTGTTGAAGTCAGACTCCGATCAGAATAACTAAGAAAAAAATCTTTGAAACAACGGAGAAAGTTGGTGAATAAACAATTCAACTTCATACATTGATTATGAAAGCACTGAGCAGCAGGGTGCTGAACGGAATTGCAATTTCATGTGCACCCTATCGCCTGCCTTACACAGAGAGGGAGTGATTATTTTTCTTGTGCTCTTGATCATGAGAACAAAAGGTGCGCTGGGAGATGATATCCGATTAACACTGAAAGGTTTAAGAACTGTTTTATGAATAGGCTTATTTATAATTATAATTTAGCAGTATAGTTACGCAGAGCGAACGGGTGGGGAAATAATATTCGTGAATCTCTTCCGAATTCTGAATAGATCAATTTAGCTTGGCCACCCACTAGCGATAGAAAATAAATGGCGGCAAGATTATTGTGGGAGCTATAGCTCCAACTCTCACTGAGCCTCCCTCCTAGCTCCGCGGTACATGTTCTACATGCATGTCTGCAATGCTGTTCATATCTTATTGTGCACCAATGAGTACAGATAAACTCTTCCATTTACAAAAAATCGCTAATGATTCGATAAATTTCTTAACAACACTTTGCAAGAAAGCCCGAGAACTGAGCAGTTGTCCACGGCTGTTAGTCGAACTGCTGGTGTTTGGCTCCGTAAACTGCATGCAGCTCTAGCAACAATTTTTTTTTTAACTTTCCTTTTTTCGCTTGAATTTAATTTGTTATTTGTTAATTTTAATACTATATAGAAACTCGAACACCTGGTATCGAAAATGGTTTGCTTGAATTTAAGTGATGCTTGGGACGTTTGTCGTTCGCCGTTTACCCTAACGCCTGAAACTTCAGTAGACCATTTTTTATTACACGGTGTTCAAGTTATCATTATCATTTATATGGTTCTTACACAGACGCAGCTCAAACTACTTAACTTGCTACTCTGCTGATCTTTTGTATTTGCATTTAGTCGCCTTCAAAGTGGCTGGATTTATGGGAATTTAAAGGAATTACGGGTGGCATAAAGACATTTTTTACTTAGTGACTATGAAATGGCTTCCGCTCTAACCAATCATAATATAAAGGGAGAAGACAGAAACCATCCAATCAGATAGCTACGGAAGCCAGTGAAGACAATCATAAGGACTACCTACACTGTTTTTTAGTATTTTTTAATGCTACCAAAGAACCAAATGAAATACAGACTTTCCTGTCTTATATCTTGTAAAAGGTCCGTCACATTTATGGTTCTAGTTTGCATTACATGAATCAAGCCGACCGATAGCTGCTCTAGTCAAAACATGACCAAAGATTTTAGATCCGCGTTTTCAATGTCAATGTTTATATAAGAAAAATCAATTTGCAATCAGTGGATACGCAGTTGCGTAGGAACGTTTAGATAAATTTAACGATGCTTGAGGTCATCACTATCATGGCGCATGCTCATGTTTAAAGGCGGTCGGGGAATCCGTGCGTCGTTTGATATATTATGGCTGCAAGCAGACTTAATTATACAGCTAGCTTCGTAACAAAAACAAAAACAAAAAACAAACAAAAAACAAAACAAAACAAAACAAAAAAAACAAAAATCAAAAAAAAAAAAAAAAAAAAAAAGAAAAAAAAGAAAATGGAAAGAAAAGAAACGAAAAAGAAAGAATGGAAGTGGGAAGGAAGGAAAGACAAAAAAGGAAATCAGCACAGAAACTCAAGAACGCACTTTTCGCCATTAGAAGACTATAACTTATAGCCTAGTAGTAGCTCATCCAATCAAAACGCGGCATTGATGATAGACCACTATACTAGTTAGATTTGACTAAATTGCATTAGTTCATTGTTCAAATATGATACAAGTAGTAGTATAAATATGAAACTACTTCATTTGTAGGTGCTTGACAGGTGCGCACTGAAGCAGGCTTCATGGCTTCCATGGAAGATTGGAGTTCCTGTGGTAAGCCTTTAAAATAAGAAAAACCACATTTCTAACTCATAGGTCTTGCTTCATATTCCAATCAAAAAAAGAAAAGTGTACTAGCAAACTGTTTGACTGCGAATGTAATATGATTTGTAGCGTGCTACCTGGTCTCAAATTTCAGAACTCCAACCAACAACGTTTTTGAAATAGGTATATAACTAATTTATCCTTTAAATGATTAATAATTTTCGTGTATCACTATTTGTAAATCAGTATTCTTTTCCCTTTTACAGAGGTAAAAGGAGAAGGAAAACAAATGAAAAAAAAAATGCATGGAAATAGCTCCTTCTACGGGAAGTATGGGTTGTGTGCGCTGCTAATGCGCCACCTCTCACCGATGCGACCCGAGTTCGAGTCCTGCTTGGCTCGGTGTCGCATGTGAGTAGAGTTGTGTTGTTCTTCGAAGGTTTATCCTCCGGGTTTTCCTCCCTCCACAAAAATCAACTTCTTAATTCTAATTCGATTTATCGGCTGCTTTATCACTGTGGTGGTAAACGCATTAGATGGATTATGAATCATAGGAAAACCTTGTTTCAGATATAGTCCACATTTCTAGAATTTGGACCATATATAGCAGTTGTCACATCACGCAAAAAGCCGTGTTATGCCGTATCTTTCCTAATCATAACGATACGCTACACCCTCATCGTAGACTTATTGTGTGCAAGAAAAAATCCCAGGTCATACGACTAACCGCGACAGACCGACTGCTATAACAGCGTCTACGATGATGGTGCACTGTAATATCTCCTGGACGCCATCCACTTTGATCAGTTGACTGCATAGTCTGGGCTCCTCAGGAATTGTGACAGTATTTGGTCTTGCCATCCACAATTTCCCTCCCAGTTTTCCCACACATCATTATTGCATGTCATGGCTTCTTCAAATTGGGTATTTTAAAATTTTCCTTGTGTGGTGGGTATACTATTTTAATACTGATGTCGTCAAACGATATTTACATTTTCATACATTTGCGTGCCATCTGATGTTACAAAAATAAGGACTTCTACTTTACACCTTTCACAATTCCTATTCTCTTAACATTTTTTGGACACTCGTCATTAGCAGACATAATATATGAGACCCTATTTACAATGTTGATATTGAAATAAGCCATCAAGCAGTGGCTCCTGAAGCTGGTTTTGGTGCTGGAAGAGATGGTAGAGCTGGCTGTACCAGACTGCTGCCTGTTTCTTTTGGATCTATTCCTCCTTGTGTAATAAAAGTGCTGTCCTCTTCTTCTTTTATCGTCGACTCAGCGGTTGCTTTTGCAGTAGATGGAAAGCTGGGTCCCAAGCTTGATACTTTATTCCTGTTAAACAAGGATATAATTTATGTAAAATTAACATTTTGATAAGTACGAGACGAATATGGTTTTCCAGGTGGAGTGACCTCGTTTTGTACCCACAAAAGGCTGGGCATTATTTACAATCAAGGGTCAAGCGCTTAGTTTAGAGTTTTACGAGAGGGGATATTTTTTTAAATTTTAGGGCAGAGCCTACATTCACGAAACTGAGGGGGGCATCCATTATGAATACGTATTATCTCTGAGACTGAGACTGCCTGTCGTAGTAGCAGAAATCGCGCTTAGCCAAGATGCTTACAGGTCATCCAGAGTTAAAATAAAAATTCTAACTTTATCGATAATGCATAAATGCTCGTGAAAAAAATAGACTCCCCACAACCTCCAAAAACGTATCTTTCATAACCGGGGCGGATTTAGAGGGAGGCCCTTTTCGTTTTCGATGCATTACTTTTTTTTGCTAAAATATCTCGAGTGCAGGAAATGGCAATTTTGTAAACCATTAAAAAAAACATTTCTGGCTAATTTTACCCGGATCTCGCTCTGGTTTCGTTTTGCATATACACCGAATTTACACACACTCCTTTCCCACATGCCTGAATCCACCCCTACACAATACTGTTATATCAATATTACAAGCTAACAACCGCATACCGCAAAAACGACTGTTCGGTTGCAATAGTCACCGTACGTTCGCGTGTTTCATGTAAAACTGCCCTATGTAACAAGGTCTTTCAACTTACTTTCGTTTCCCTTTGTAGCCGTTCATTTTAGCGAAGAGCAACCTTAAGATACGTTCTCTCTGTTCCCAAGTCAATTCTCCAATGTCGATCTTCCCTTCCATACCAGTCCACTGCTCAGCCATCTTGAGATCATCAAACACATTGTTAGTGCTTGTTTCAGATTTATTGAATGTACGAACCATGGGAAAGTCTGCCCGGCCTCCATGTGCTGCGAGCATGCGCTGTTGATATACTGCTTGTGCATCGCGTCTGTATTGTGCTCTGCAAGAGAAGACGTTTTTCATCATTAGGGACATGCGTTAAAAGAAAACAAAAACTAACGTTTCCTTTGTATTATCGGAATTGGAACACCTTGAAACTGTTGCAGGTATTTGTCCCAACTGTCCTTCCAATGAGACTACGTCAGTGCTTTATGTTTTGAACTAAGTGCAACTGTTGTCCACGTTCTGCAACAGTGCAACAACTGAAACCGGGGCCACTTACTGAAACCGGGGCCACTTAGAACCAATCAAAATGTAGAATGAAAACAATACATTCCAACTTTGGGTAGTGGAGCCAATCAGAAGCTCAACTATCCAAAGTTGGAATGCATTGTGTTTTCATTCTACATCTTGATTGGTTAGCTGTGCAAGTGGCCCCAGCTTTCTGGTATACAAGCTGCGTAGCTTAGAAAGGTAGGCCAACTGAACGACGTTAAATAAAGATTTTTTATCTTCTTGCCTGTGATATTTAGTTAAAGACAAATAATCGTAAAGGAACTTACTGGTTTCTAGCAATCTCATTCTTGACGTGTTCTAGTGAATCCAGGAAAAACTGTTCAACCTCTGTTCTCTGTTGCAAAAAAGATATCAAAAGATCAACAAAGCGCGACTCTGATAACAGCCATTCCTGACAGTCATGCATCTCGACCAATCAGTCTGGATGAATATAATTTATGAATATAATGAATATAAATTACAACTTGTACGATTTGAGCTGTGGTGACGTGAGCAATTTTGTATGAGTAGGAAAAACCGAACACATATCTACAAAATACTTGAATTGGTACGGTATTGCCTTACAGCACGTACATGGTAGGATATATCCTAACATATAAATGGCTTTCCATTGTTACGGCGCATTAACGAGGAAACGCTATGTTTATATAAGTAGACTATTAACGCCAACACTTCTCTATCACATTTGTACAGTCAGAAATAATGGTACTGATAATGATAATGATAGTAAAGACATAAAACTCACCTGGTCTAGAATATTTTTAGCAAGTCTTTTTACTTTATTCATTTCCTTCGTTTTCAGCTGTATTACTCTTTGCAGTCGAGCAATCTCGGCCCTAGAGTACAAATGTAACAAAACGTTAACTAGTATCATGATTGAACTTCGACGAAAGTATAATATAGTCGAATAGGGGCGTTATGTAATAATAATAAATAAAATATAATAACGGGGTTCTTATATAGCGCATTTTACATGGTCTCAATGCGCTTCACAATCATGACCAGTGGAGGACTTTACGGGCTGCGTATTTAGGCGCTAGTAGCAGCTATGTAGCAGCTATGTAGCCACCGGTGCAATACTCCATTTTACAGTTTCGTTCAGTGTCCATGAATTATTAGTTCCAAGCCGAGGTTAGAGTTGCCGCGCATGCTAAAAAACACAGTTTTGCTATGTGCGGAAACTCCAACTTCGACTTAAAACTATTATTTGTGATCACTGAACGGAACTGTAAAAAGGAGTATTGGTCGGGTTTCAACCGGACCACTTGTAGGAAAACCGATTTTTTGCGTTTTGCTTTCTTTTTTGGAGCTTCTAGTTTCCCTTGCCACGTGGTGGCTACGACCCCGCCAAGTGTACAGAAATATACAAACCTGCTATTTTTGGTCTCAACGACTGCATTGTCTACAATTTTTACTCTCTCTGCTTCAAACTCTCGTACTAGGTGACTTAATGATTGCTCAAGGGTTTTCACTTTTTCTTGCAGCTGTAAAACAAATATAGGTTTTATAAGTATGCGAATGAGTTTGATTAAACGTCGAAGATCCAAATGTATTGCAAAAAGCTGCTAAAATACAGTACGTCCAGTATGAAAGCGCTGTTATGCTGGGAAAAGATCCTTGCAACTTGCTTTATGATTTTGTAAAATGCACGAGAAATTGCACAAGAAATTGACCAAGGTCATACGCAGAGAACCTGCAATTTTATTGCAGTGTTTTTGCAATAGTGGCAAAAAGTACCAGTGCATGAGTGAATCCAAAAATCTGAAAAAGGAGGGGCAGGAAAAATTCAATATCAAATGAATCTTACCTCTGACTATGCAAAGCGAAACCAGAGGAGGTCTGCAGGAATGCTCCCAAGGAAAGTCTTAAAACATATGGTTTCCGAAAATTCTATTTTCTACGTTCTGAGGATATCATTTATCAAAGAAAAGGAACAAGAAAAGGAACAAAAAAAGGAATTCCAAAAGAGGCGGATGGAGCCCAATCGCCAACCCTGTATCCACCATGCAATAAGCTATACTTCTTGTAAAGACTGTAATTGTTCTTAACATTTTGCTATGTGCATTCAAGTACTATATTAATACTCTACTTACCTCTTCTATTAATTGGGTTTGTTTCTGAGATTCAACTACTTTTTCTTGTACTATTATTCCATTTAGCTCCTAGATAGAAAATATGAGAAATTTGTCTCCATAAACTTCATTCACTGTTCATAAGTAGGTTTGATTGTAAGTTACCTACCTTTTCTGACAACAGCTCCTTGCTTAGTTCTGATAATTTATCTCTTTCCTGAAAAAAGGATGAGTCAATTAGAGGATTGTTGACTGAAGTTTTTAAGTCCTACAGATAAGTCCTGTGAATAAGAACTGATATAATGAATCAAAATGAACAACTACTAGTATGAAAATGCAGACATCTTGGTCTTGCTTTCTAAGTAGACTGGTAAAGTTTTGGTACAATGTTTTCCCATTTCAGATCAGTGTCATTCCCCTATTCTTTACTCAGTGGTACCCAAACCAAATCGATGCATATTGTTTGATGATTGGCCTCTTCGATACCAATGCCTCCCACATTTGAATTTTGTGACTGGCTAATTTTGATCAGAACTAACAAAATCTTGACTGGAAAATAGTTTACAATCACTGCCTTTTTTTTGTACAAACCTTCTTCAGCTCTTGGCTTTCTTTAACATGATATTCAAGGGCTGCATTGATTCTAACATTTTCTTTATACACAGATCGAGTTGTCTCATCTAGATTGCTATAACAAGTACATAACATCATAATGTTAGCTCAGAAATTAAAATTTTATAAATACTAAAAAATATGTTGATTCCTTACCTTATGGCTTCAGAATGGGCCCTCTCGGCTAACTCTGCAATCTTCCTACTAGCTTCTTGCTGTAATCGAACCTGGAATGAACAATAATTACAATTGCATTTCAAAATATGTACATACCCAAACCATTACAACAGTAGACAAATCATGTACAGTACCTTTTCTTCAAAGAACTTCTGCTCCATTTGCTGCAATGTCCCTTTGTGGTGTTTCTCAGTTACAAACATGCTTTCTTTGATCTGAGTTAAAAAAGTAAAATTCTTTGAAATCTTGAATCAAAAGGCATTTTAACATATTTAAAAATTACTAATAGACATCCAAATTCTAAATTTAAAGATGTAAGTACCTCATCTAGCTCTTTTTGCATTTGAGCTCTCTTTCTTCTGAATTCTTTCACTAACTTTAATTCTGACTGCATCAACTTGACCTAGAAGAAATAGAAAATGATTATGCATCACAGACTCTCTGTATTTTGGTATCATACAGGTATCTACTGAGTAGATGATATGGGGAAAGGATGGGCAGTGTAGCAAACCGATAAATTGTGAGTTCTGTGGCTTTAAAATTAACCAATCAAAGACATGTGGTAAGTGATTAAATCCAACACTTACCTCATTAGTTTTCTCTGCTAGGGCTTCTTGTAACTGGTGTATTTGTTGAGAATACTCATCAACCTGGATTATATGATCACCACAACGATAAGTACCATATAATAAATCATTTTATATTAATTCCTAGTCATACTTCAAAGTCAAAATAATACTTACTAGTGCCTGTCTTTCTTTACGAGCTTCTCTTTTTAATTCCTTTAAAGCTTGGTTGAGACGAGATACCTTCAAGCCACAAAACAACAGACATTTTACCAACATATTTCAAATCATCATGTATTCATTCCCTTTATTATTGGTGCTTTGTTTACCAGTAACAACTTAGTGAATGTAACATTTATATGTATATATATGTTACATTGATATTGATTTATTAACTTCAAAAAATCTTATTCTCAAGGGCATGGTTTGGATATTGGAAACTATGTTCATTTATTGAATTTATTGGGATCTCACAGCCAAAGATCTTTTACTTGAATCTGGTTCTTTAATCAAAGGAAGGGGAGGAATGGTTACTTGAATAGAAGGTGGTTATTATTTTTGAACAATTACCTGTTCATCTTTCTTCATGTCCTCTTGCTTCAAGAATGAAATAACATCAATAGTATCCCTCTCTGACTGGGTCATTTGTTGCTGTAGTGAATCATTTTCATACAACAATCTTTTGGCATTCTCCCTGAAAAACACCATAGACATTTTAACGTCGAAGTGTTCATTATAATATAAAATTATCTTAGATAATGTTATTTTTATTTGTACAATTATCGTGAGTATACTATAATAAAAGGGCATAAAGGATATAACTTTCTAAAATCAGTAGAACCCACTTACCTGTATTCAGTTCTGGACTTTTCTACTGCAGTCAGCTTAGTCTCCCATAACTTAGCATTAGCTGTGGCATCTTTCAAAACGGATTCCTTTTTGGCCTTCTTGCCTTCCTTCTTGCCTTTCTTTCTGTTGAGGTGACATTAGAAGCGTTTAAAAACATCTACTACAGTTCAGACACTAACGAATCATAAAATGAACAGTGAATTTAGGTGTTTTTTACGTTTTTCGGCATAAACTAAAGTGCAATTTGGGTTTGTACTGTATCTTGCTTCTACTACAACTAGTCATACTAGTCTGAACTAAAAACACGAATTCATAGCGTAAAACCTATTCATCATGTAGCCATCATCACAACGTCATTAATTTACTCACCCTCCTTTCTTGCCTTTAGAGGCTTTTCCTTTCTTAGCTTTTTTAGGCATTTTTTGAGCTACAATTTATGCGACACAACCTAAACACTTCTTTACTTTCGTCTTGCCTGGTTTGGTTGCTTTGGTAACTATTGTTTACGCCAGACACGCGCCCGCGATCATACCTTTCCCCAAGAATACGAAAGTTGGCCGATAGATTGTCGAAAGCACCGAAGGATCTTCGGGTTATTTTCGGTACTTTTGAGGCTAATTCGGAAAAGATAAAAATCTTTATCAGCCAGGCCAGCGGTAAGCCTGTTGAATGCAGCTGATCACCCGCCATCTTTGATTAAAAATCTCTGATCTTTCCAAAGCAAACGAGGGTATTTTATTCCTGATCATCAAACAGCTGAGCTCTAGCAATCTTTGGATTCAAAGGCACAACTCCAGACATGGAAGACGAGATACAGAAATTGAAAAACAGAGTCGTAGAACTCGAGAAGGCTTTGGATTTGGAACGGAAAAGAAAAGGACCACGAAGAGAAAAGATTGAACTAATGAGTTCAGAAGTTGTAGACAGCAATCCTTACAGGTAAAACGACACAGCTTCTCTCTTTTATTTCTATTTAATAAGTAGAGTTGTGCTTCAGTACACATCCTTTTGTATGGCCTTCGCTAATTAAAAAATATTCTATCCGTGCTATCTATTTTACCACGATTTATTTGGCGCCATTTGCTTTTTTCTTTTAGATAAATATGCTTTTTCCCCCTTCACTATTGAGATAAACGGTTATCAAGATATTATTATCTCCTACATCACTGTAAAGAGCCAAGAAAATAACCACAATAATATTCGTGGTTTCCATATTTTACCTTCCATCCCTTAAGAGTAAATTAATACAATGTACACGTAAGCCTAAGCAATGCATAATAGTATTATCCATGGATATTCCCGTCCTCTCAGTTTAATTTGTACGGCATTTGTTCCTCTTAATCCTAGCTTAGCCGATTAACAGCAATTTAGTCTCATCATTCCAACAAATTGGCAATTCGTGTCGTAGTATAACTCCTGGTCGAACTCTATTATTTTATCATTACAATGGCAAATAGACATTCCTCCTTGTAGTTTATTGTACTACTTAGACCAAAACTCGACCTTCCTGTCAATAGAAAAAAACCTATTTACTTTCTTTTGTCAAGCTATAAAAATCTTGTGTACACTTGAATTTCATGAGTACAACTGAGGATTATTCAATTCTATAACGTTAGATTGATCAAAGACTTTTAAATGTATTTTTTTAAAGTTATATTTCTTTTTCTGATAAATATCAGATAACAACACATGGTTTAGTAAATATCTCAAAAACAGTCTTGCAGCTGTTCTTCTATGTGTTTATTATTTCTGTGCAATCTTATCGCTGTGGGTGTGTTTTTTTGACATTAAGCAACTTGACCTGGGAAGTAAAACTGGTCAAACAGTAATGACGACAACAACAACAAATTTTTTTCTAATAAGCTGGGAGTTATAGAAAGCAAATTTAAATTTAGACTGAAGCTTACCCTCAAGTATTGAAATATTGCATTGCTAGTGATATTGATAAATTTAGGAAATTCCACAATACTGTTATACAGCAATGTCAAATAATTTTCAAAACAAGTAGACATTTGACATTTACATGTACCTTGAAGAAGGAGATATTATATTTGTTGATTTAGAAGCTATAATCAGTCATCTTTATTTGAAAGCTGGTATGTGTATTTATATAATAATATATATTCATTTGGTAAATTATTTATCAGATTGATTTTAATCTATGGATTGGAATTTGGGTCGTATTATCATTAAGTAGATTTTGATCACTTGGGCTTTTTCTCTTTGATAATAAATTATTATTTATGTATAAGCCTCTAGATTTTATTTCATGGTGAATTATTTTACATAGTTGTGTCAAGTATCTAAAATCCAGGGAGAGATTTGATATTCAGCTGGTAAACTGGATTCAGCTGGTAAACTGGATTGAATAATCCATTTTACAGTTCAATGACTATGAATGATAGTTCCAAGCCAGATTGGAGTTGCAATGCATGATAAACTATAGTTTTACTATGAGCGGAAACTTCAACCTTAACTTGGAACTATTTTCGGTCAATGAACGGAACTCTAAGAAGGGATCCTTGGGATTAAATAATCAGCAGATAAACTACATATGATTTCGATTTTTTTCAAATAAATGTAAGAGACAAAAGACATGTTTTTTGAGGGCATATGATACCAGGGACTTCATTATGAGCAATAACTCCATGGACCCCTTTGCCCATAGTCCTTGGCATGCTATATGTGTTACTGCTGCACTCTTGTTATTTACATGTAACTCTCAGATATATTGAAAAACTAGTTAATATAAATAGATTTGCCCCCATGATTTTTAATATTGCTTTTCCATTTTGAACTGTGTGTTACTTCCTGTGTGTACCCTCAAGCTATTAATCAGCATTGAATCGTGTTGGATGGTCATTTTTATTAGACCAAGTGTAATTTGCAATGTTATCGTTAATCAGTTTGCACTAATGTGTGCAAAATTTTTCAATAGATTTTGCACCCTGCATTGACTGTTCAGTGGATAAAATCCCAATTATTTTGGACCTGACTATGAGTCTGTTCTGGTTGGAAGTTTATGTAACAAGTATTAAATATCACAGTATACCTGCCTATATTCACCTATATTTGCCTATATGCAATGTAGTACTTAGAAAATGTTGCCAACAGACTACTTATGATATTATTCTGATTCAAAACAATTGGGGAAAATCAATAATAAAAAGAAGGAAATCACACTTAATGCAATGTGAGATATTTCTTTTATATGATTTTGTCCATTAAAGTAAAGTAAGACACTGTTTACACTAGTACGTTTTCATTTGAAAACACATACTTTTTTCAATGTATGTTGTTGTGACATCAACACTAAAATGATCAAATTCACATACATTCGAAAATGTCTCCAGAGTAGAGACATTGGAAAACGGAGGCTTATAATATTAGTATGGACATCAAAAACAGAGGCTTTTAAAAAACTGACTTCAATCACACCTGCAACTCTGTTTTTTTGCAATTGCAGATAACAATATTGCATCATTTTCAATTGTCTCTGAGTTTTTGATCTTTTTAGTATGGATGCTATGTTAGTCACTTTCAACACATTTTTGGTGAGACAAAAATGGAGAGTTTCAAAAATGCACTAGTATGGATATGGCCTACTCTGAGTGGGGTATATTGTTATGTAATGCTGGCTCAATAAGTGATTTTTTTTTATCTCACCCAACCAGTCGTCTGATGGCTTTGAAGAGAATGGGAATAGTGGATAACTATGAGGTAGGTAATGTAAAAAATTTAAATGACTCCACACACGTTCTATTTGGCAAAAATAGATAGGGAAGCACAAGCGCTGCCAATGCACTGGCTCTCACCAATATGAACCATGTTTGAGTCTCACTGGGCTGGGTGTTGCATGTGAGTAGAGTTGTTTGTTGGTTCTCTCTGCTTTGAGGGTTTTTCTCTGGATTCTCCAGTTTTCCTTCCTTCTCAAAAATCAACTTCTAAATTCCAATATTTGATCTTTGGGCTTTCACCTAGTATGGAGCCTACCTCTGTTGTTTATTGTCCCTCCCTGTTATACAACAGCCAAAGCTTAATAGATAATTTAACAGCTGTAGCAGCTATTCTGTGGACAATACTAACAATCTATGCTCATTTTATTCAGCGCATTCGGGATTATACAATAGCAGTTGTTGGTATTGGGGGAGTTGGAAGTGTTGCTGCAGAAATGCTCACTAGATGTGGAATAGGCAAGGTAAGAAGATATGATACCATCCTGTAATTTTGTTGTTCCAGAAAATATCTGTACCTCCTCAATAGAGGGGGATTCAAATTTTCAAGTGGTAGGGAGGGGATGATAAACCAATGATTTTTTGGACCCTAAAAAATACCATTGCTAATATACTTGCATACAAACAGAGGAAAGGGTATTGAGGAAAGAATTAAATCATTTTGTTTGAAAATTCCGTTCCACAGCTTTTGCTGTTTGACTATGACAAAGTGGAGCTTGCAAACATGAACAGGTGAGAAAATAAACTAACTTTGATGCATCCATCAGAAATGAAGAAAGGTCTTTATAACCTTTTAAAAAACCTTTTTCTCTTTTGAATCTTTTAGATTGTTCTTTAGACCAGACCAGTCTGGTATGAGTAAAGTACAAGCAGCTGTCAATACATTAAGGTACGATATTCATTCTATCTATTTATTTGTAGATGTAGCACATGTCAGGGGCATAGAAGTGGAATTTTTAGTGAGTGAGGGTGGAGGGAGAGGGGGACCTAAAATGTAAAGTACTTGTTTGAATAAATAGTAATAAATTAAGTTAGTATAGTTAATATTACTATTATCTTTTTATCAAGGGAAATCAATCCTGATGTGGAGTATGAAGCATATAACTATGATATCACATTAATGGAGAATTTCAATCACTTTATGTGCAGAATAAGGTAAGATATTTTAATTTCATTTGAACACGTCTTCTGTCTTGAGTAAAATGTCCTCCTTTTGAACTTTTCATGGCTCCTTTTTCTGCTACTGGACACAGTTTACATAATTCAATAGAAACACAAAAGACCCCAAGTAAATACAATAGAACAAATCTAACAAAAAGTACAATAAGTTTGCGGTAAATATCTGATTGATAAATATTTCATTTGGAAACCTCAGGGAAGTGTAAAAGTTTCCTTGAACTATAAGTGTCAGATTTTCAATAGAGTTTTCATGCTGATGTCCACTTATTGATATTATTGTACTCACTAGAGTAAGGAGAGGGGAAGGGGCATGACTGCCACCAAAACGTTTGCTTTAGGCATCAAAATTTGATTAAATGTGGGATTCTTGTGGATTTGGTGGGCAAATGGTATATTGAGATATCTCACTGTACCCCTGATTGTACTACAATTTTCAGTCATGGTGGATTCAATGAGAAAGCAGTTGATCTTGTATTGAGCTGTGTAGACAACTTTGAAGCAAGGATGGCCATCAATATGGTAATAATATGTCATGTGTAATAGCAGGTGATACCTAGTAGATCACATCTGACCAAAAGGGGTACCTTATTCCCTCACCCCCTCTGGGTGTTATATTGTAATGGGATGTTTATGTAAAAGCAGCAGATACTTAGAGGATCACTTCTACCCAAAGGGGTTACCCCAATCTCTAACTTAACACAAGGCACCCCATCTCCCCACTTTGTCATGGTGTTTTATAATCCATAACCATTATCTTATTTTCAGGCCTGTAATGAGCTTGGCCAAGCGTGGTTCGAATCAGGTGTTAGTGAAAATGCTGTGTCTGGTCATGTGCAGTTTATAAAACCAGGAGAATTAGCTTGCTTTGCGGTAAGGCTAACTACAGTACTGTACTTCCTGACACTTTCCTTTTCGTGTTTCTGAGTTTGTGTAATTTTGTACTAATTACAGAAACCTTGAATGAGAGAGAAAGACAGACAGATAGTAAAACCGTAATTTATGAAAGGGAGGAGGCAAGGGAGGGAGGGGGAGCATATCCAGTATCCACCTCCGAGATATGCTTCGCTTGTCACGCAAGGTTTCAGTATGAAGCTAAGTGCTAAATTAAATTTATCCCCCCAAAATCCCAGCAGCCCTCGACCCCCATCCAAGGCCGATCCAGGGGGTGCAAAGGGGGGCTGAACAAAACAAAACTGAAGAATTAGATGCTATTTTTATTGTTTTCCGTTGTGTTGACGGAAGAAATTCAATTAACCCCCCCCCCCCCCCCCCACTAAAATTTTGACTGGATCTGCCCTTGCCCATTCCAATCAAAAGTGAACAGTCCCTAATGCATACAAACGAATATATGAGGGTTTTCGCAACTTTCATTTTTACTGAGTTGTACATTTTCTTGTAGTGTGCACCACCACTAGTCGTAGCATCAAACATCGATGAAAAGACTTTAAAACGTGAGGGAGTTTGTGCTGCTTCTTTACCAACAACCATGAGTATAGTGGCTGGATTCCTTGTACAGAGTTCTCTTAAGTATGTGAAAAGATATCTTTAACTGCTGTATTTACTCATTTAGGCGCTGCCCCCGATTAAGCTCCGCCCTCAAATAAGCGCCGCACCTAAGACCATAATTATTAATAAGCGCCTCCCCCAAGTAAGCGCCATTCGCGAATTAACGCCGCATATGAATACCAAAAAATTTAATAAGGGCCGCGGCTCTTAAACGAGTTAATAAGGTATTTTGCATATTTTAAACTTTTGTATTAACTTTGTAATAAATCATTGGTTACACATTATGTGTACGGTAAACAGTGGGCGATATGCAGACTTCTTCCTTACTGATTGTGATTGTTCTCGTCGTAGATGTCTATTACAGTTTGGAGATGTGTCACATTACTTGGGATATAACGCTATGCAGGATTTCTTTCCAACCATGAGTATGAAGCCCAACCCTGGATGCGATGATCTTAATTGTCTAAGCAGACAAAAGGAATATCAGGTACTTTATTCTTCATACCTTGGGTATATTTTGTACTATTTGGCGCAAAATAATGTTATTCCCCTTTACAAATTACGCGTGAGTACTCCCAGACGTTTACTCTGGAAAGTAGTTGGGGGGTTGCAACAAGGTGCTGCAAAGGGTCTATTCGCACCTCCACGGTGAATAAAAAAATGCATATAAAAATATATTGATTATGCTCGTACAGAGACTTTGCACATTCACATGATGGCAGCCATGACGTGAGGCACAGCAATATGGTCTTTTTCCACTTGTATTGGAATCTGAATTTTTTTGCTTATGCAAACCAGATTAGACCAGATTCAATTGTTTTCGCTTCTGTCATGGCTGCCGTCATATGATGGTGCAAAGCCTCTATTGGTTATTTTTATGACAAATTATTAAATTAGAAAATGGGCTACACAAGGTTAGGCCTAAGTTAGGGGCCCGGGGGGGGG